TTACTGCTCTGTTGTGCCACACAATAAAAAGTGAATAAACGTATGAATAATCATTATAACAAGCATAGGTTATGAACACATTAGGCTTAGATGAGTAAAATACAAGTAAAATTCAAGTAAATGTCATTTAAAACTGGGTGTTAATATTACCAGTAGACGGTACCACACTGCAGATACATTCAGTAACATAGAACTGTGTTAAATCGATTCTAATTTCAGGTAGGTAAGCGTCTAAAATGTGTCACCTACTTTGTCTCTCCTCATTGCAGAAATACATTCCTCAGACAAGTTACGTTGACTTAAAAAGGCGAAAAGTGGTTCCATTGGAGTCTCCATCTCATCTCCCTCCGTTTCTTCCTGACGAGACTCAAACATCCCGCGAGATGTCGCCGTTTTACCGTTATTATTCATGTCATTATTACAAGTTATAGAACACGTTATTTTGAAAAACATTTCTCGTTAAAACGTGATTCATATCACGTTTTAACGAGAACATTTCTTGTTATTACGCGATACTGGTCCTGAGTTTTTTCCCCACACTGACGGTAATACGCTTCTGTAGTGGAGGGACTTAGGAAAAATTGAAATATTAAAGATTATTTACTTTTTTTAATAAAATTGGGTCAGATGGTCAAAATCAAACATTTTTAAAGTTATTCTACATTTAAATCTTACGGACTGTGCCTGTAAACCTCACACGTCTCTATAACCTCTTTAGGTGCAGAAAGGTACTTTTTCTGAAAGAAGCCCTGAGTTGATGTGCATTAAGCTGCAGAAAATGCCAGCAGTTGTTGTTTTAATTGTTTAATTGTTTGATTTTCTCTTAAGGGCACATGTCCATCTGCAGAACCCGTCTACACATCTGCAACATCACTGGTTAGTTTGGTGATTTCATCAGAAAGAAGTGACAACCATTACTTATCAGATTTAACGGAATTATTCTAATGAAAACTTCTGAGAAAGTAAAAAAGATCCCAACTCAACCTGGAATGACTGCTTTGTCACCTTCCTTCTTTTGATGAAAGGAGCAGAAGTTTGTAAGTCTTACATAACTCCATTTTGCTGTAGCTTCTTGATGATTTTAATATGTGAAATTATCTGTGAGAAAATAACACAGTTCTTCATCTGTTCCAAGTAAGATTGTTATTGCTAAAAAAAATAACGAAAAATAGTAAAATAATTGTAAATTAAAAAGGTATTTCATTAACTGACATAAAATAACTCGACAATGCAAAAAAAAAAAAAAGAAATCAAACAGAAACCAATGAGTGTTGACAAAACTAACTAAAACCAACTGGATTTATAGAGAAAATGGGCTTAGTTTATGTAATTATCAGTATTAAGTCTAGTATCTTGTCGACTATCGGTCTCGTGCCGGTATTTAGCCTTAGATGGAGTTTACCACCCGCTTTGGTTTTGTATTTCTGTGCCACGTTACACCGGTGGCTGGTACATCGGTGAAGTCGACTTTGCTTATGCCAAAGAAGGTCTCTCCAATAGAAGTTGTCCTGCTTTGGGATTTTTGTTTCCGGTAGACAAAAAAAAAGGCAATTAGCACTTAAAAGTACTATTTGTAGTAATAGTAGTGATAAATTTTTAAAGTAAAACTCTTATGAGTTTGTAAAAAAAAATGATTACAACTAAAAGCAGTAGCTCAGGAGGTAGAGCACGTTGTCCAGTAATAGGAAGGTTGCAGGTTCCAACCAGACAATTCTGCTGTTGTGTCCTTGGGCAAGACAATTAACCTGCCTTGCCTGCTGGTGGTGGTCAGAGTGACCAGTTGAGTCAGTGTTCGGCAGGCCTCGCCTCTGTCAGTGCGCCCAAGGACAGCTGTGGCTACATCGTAGCTCATCCTCATCACCAACGGTGAGCAGCAGAAACATGTATTTTTTTAAATTCTGATTATTTCTTTACTCATCAGTGGTATTATTTTTATTTTGTTTTACAATTATGTCATGATTAAACTAAATCAATTTATGGTTTGAGTGACCATTAATATGGCTTATTAACACTGGCTTTTCTTGGGGGGGCAGCAATTTCCATGGTCACCCCTGGCCACCTCTTGGGGGCACCATTGATTGTAGAACCCTAAGAAGGTGCTACACAAATACAGGCCATTTACTATAAAATAGAATTGACAATCAAATAAAACTGAATAAATGAATGAATTTCACTTGAGATTATTTCATCATTGTTGTTAATCAAATTACTTGTTTAATAACTCAAAGTTCATACTGATCTTACTCGTTGTGATAGGAGGATTTTCATCAGTTTATTACTTTATTTCTTTGTCATGGTGACTGGTATGTTAACTCTGAGATAACTTGCTCACAAAATATTCAAAAGTTTTTAATTAGATAGTATTGCGTCAGAAACTTCCCTTCCTTCAGGGTCGTATATAAAGAACTGACTCAAGCAAGGTTGTAGCTTCAGAGACTTTCCTTCACACTGAAGACCTCTCCACCAAGTAGACTCCTGACTCTCTTCAACTGCCTCCCTGCACAGGTTGAACTCTCATATTTCACTGATAGAAAAGAACTGAGCAAGGAAAAAGGTAAGAGATACTAGGAAAACATTAAGTAATGCTTCCTAAATGTTAATATCCAATATGTGCCATGTGTAGAATGTAGAGAATGTATCAGGGATAAAGTAAGATAAGATCAAATGTTTTCCTTAAACCTTTAGATTAAAAAACACTGTGGGCTCAAGATAATATTTCTAATAAATATCAAAATTCACCAAATGTAATATTTCCTGCACTAATCCTTAAAACCTTTTTGTGGTCTTTTATTAGATGACAATGAGGATCATTCCTATTCTCCTGCTTGTCTGCCTGATGCTGTTGAGCAAAGCTGAATCAAGAGAAAAAACCAAAACAGAAGTACGCTATGAGAAGTTTCGAAGACAGCATATAGCGCAGACAGATATGGCTGCAAAAAAATGTGATTCAGAGATACGTGGTAAACAAATCTACAAAATTGACAACACTTGCAAGCCCACAAACACGTTCATTCTTGATAACCCAAAAAATATCAAATTAATTTGTCAGGGCGAAGGAGATTTGATTGCCGACACTGAGTTGACACGTAGTCGAAAAACGTTCAAAATCATTGTGTGTGAATTGAAGAGTGGAGAACGGAAACCCAGGCGTCACTATGAGGGCCGCCTTCTCACAAACAGATATGTGGTTGTGAGGTGTGAGAACAATCTACCTGTGCACTTCAAAAACGACATTATGAATTTTGGAGGATAATTGTTCTTCACCGCTAAAACAATGATGACATTGTTTCTGTTTAGCTTCAAATACGAACTGTTTGCCTGTTTGATTATTTTCTCTTTTGTACGTCTGCATCATGGAGATGAAGTGTTTTGAACACAAACGTCTTTTCCTTTCATTTATCTGCATGTATTAGTTATTTTGCAAAAAATTAAAATGTATTGCAACAAAAATAAACCAGCTATAATAAAAATGTTGCCTCTGAGATTTATTCACTAATTTCTCATTACATACATATGTGTGTGTGTGTGTGTGTGTGTGTGTGTGTGTGTGTGTGTTTTAATTCAGAAGATGCTTTTTTAATGCTTTGGGTAAGACTTTATTATTTGCTGCAGTGCTGCTTTCCTAATTCCTTGAAAGTGTTAATATTACAATTTTGAAAGACAAAATTAGCAAAACAGGTTTACAGGTCAGGTTATTCAGGTAGTTGAGGTGTGTGTGTGTGCGTGCGCGCGCGAACCGCCCAGTGTGCAGCTGACAAGTAAATACAGGAATTCAAAAAGGCTTAAGTGACAGAAAAGAATGTTCAGAAACTAAAAGAAGCAGAACAAGAAACTAACATCTGAGTCCGTATTTACCTGTCCGTTCAACTTTTGCATTAGACCTGTCATTGATGATGAAGGCAGATGGCTGTCAAAGTTAACAAAGCGCTTCCGGTGAAAACTTTCAAAATAAGATACAGGATCTAGGTTCATGTTCACTCAGCAAACGTCAGGTAATACTCAGTTACATGCCCTTGCCTTACAATATCCATAAACTGTAATGTTAGTGATGTAGTTAATTATATTAACTTAATATAATGTTATTAATCATGTAAGATTATATTACCAATGCATTAACAGGGCTATAAATTTATCATGAATTATTCACCCGTCTTTTACACATAATATTTTTAATTTTGGTAAATTATTTTCATTTTTTAAGATTTTTCGCACATGTGTTCTTTTTTTGTGTCCGATTTAATTTTTCTGCATATTTTATGTTTTTTTAATTGACTGTTGTCATTTTATTGTATTTTTAATTTTCAAGCCTTTGGCCAATATTTTTGCATATAAAGTGCTATACAAATAAACGTTTGATTGTTTTTATGGATGGATGGATGGATTGATTGATTGACCGACTGTACAGTACAGCCTTTTATTCTCCATTATTTAGCCTGGGGCAGCATGTTTCCCCTGTCTGCCTTATCTAACAATTAAGCATGTTTAAATTCAATTAAATTCAATTCAAGTTTATTTATATAGCACCAAATCACGATAAGAGTCATCTCAATGCACTTCACAGAATAAAACATTCCAATACAGGTCAGTTCATCAAGCCAATCTGAAAAAAGTTTCCTAGGAACCCAGCAAATTGCATCACTTACCTTACCTTACCTTAAACAGTTTACTCTACAAAAACATGTCTTGAACATTTTGTCTTTCTGACTAGTTAACCCGTTGTTTGCATTTCTTTACATATTTTCTTTTTTTGTTTAAAGCAAATATTGATTTTTCTTATTATCTTTTGTGTTTTTGGAATCTTTTTCCATACTAATTTTGTGATTTGAGCGTGTGAAATAGAGGCCCAAATTCCCTGATTGTGTAACAATTTAGGCAAATAAAGCTGATTCCGATAAAACATAAAACCCTTGCGTTAAAATTCTTTTATTCTGAAAGTGGGAAATGTGTTTCCGGTTTGTATCTGCCTTTTCCCGGGTATTTTACAGCTGCCTGTTGGCCAGTCCTTCCTGCTGTTTAACCAATCAGGTCACTGACTAAGTAAAAGTTGCTACGTCCTCGTTTAACTCGGTAAAAGAAGTTGCACTTTGAGAAGACTTCGCAAATGAGTTTCTTCTAACGTAGGCGGGTTTGTTTGGATATTCGACGCCGACATAATGGTTCCGGAAGGCTGGACGTGACCGGAGCGGGACGCGGTGGACACATTAAACCTACATTTGTGCGCGTGAGTCTTCTGGATGTTTAAAAGACAACTTTAGCTGCAGTGAAATACCACTAGCATGCTACGCAAGCAGCTAACTTCTTCAAAAACACGAAAAGTTAAGTGGGAAAGTCAAAAGCGAGGTGTCATTTAATTTCTTTAACGACATGAAAATGATAAAAGTTAGAAGGTACCTGAGGGGGAGTGGGAGGGTCCTCGCCTTTGTGTTTGTCGCCTCTGTCATTTGGCTTCTGTTCGACATGGCTGCTTTGCGCATGTCCATCAACGATGTGAACAGTCAGCTGATGAGGGAGCGGGTGATCAGGGAAAAGGAGATCATCAAGCAGCAGTTCAGGGCCACCCAGGGGATGAAGAGGGGCTTTAAACACCCGGTGCAGAAGGTGGACTCGCCTGTGACACCACCCGGGAAAAGACAGCAGCAATCAGACCAGCTAGCTCAAGCGTACAGGCGTGGAGGCAAAGACATAAGGGTGAACTCTAATCAGAAACAAGGAGATCAAGTTATCAGAAGTGCGCTGTCTAATGTACCAAAGCAGGATGTCCGCCCTAGGAAAGTGGCAGTGAACCTGGATGTAAACGTGCCTGATGTTACACAGCAGCCACCTGGTGTGCAGAATAACAAACTCATTTTAAAGAGTGGCCCAAATAAATCTGCACACCTTGCACAAAAACATGTGGACAGCATGGGTTCAAAGACAAATGAAAAGGTTGAGGACAATTATTCTAAGAATGGAACACAAGTGAGCCAGATTCAGGTGGAGAAAGCACACCCTGTTCAGACAACAACCCACCAAAGACCCAGCAAGAATGAAAACGGGAAGGACGAAATCTTTCAAAGGGAGGTGAACCAAGTCAGGATGACCGAGAGGACTAATCTGAAAGCACCAAAGGAGTCGTCGAACATCCGAGTTGGAGATGACTCTAGGAGAAACTCCTCAGCTGCTAGGAAACCTGGTGTCCACAAAGTACTCTCCCTGGACATGACTCAGGCTCCCAGGGATCCACGTGCAATTGGCCAGTTTGGTCAGCCAGTAGATCTTCCCCGTAGCCATGATGCAGATGTGAGGAAGAGATGGGATGAAGGCCAATTTAATGTCTACCTCAGCGACCAGATCCCAGTGGACCGGGCCATTCCTGACACCAGACCTGAAACGTGAGTTCTCTATAACGTGTGGTCTATCTCACATTGCTTTGACTGCTTAGCTCAATCTGTTCTGCTTACCGTCTAGCTGTTCAAAGAGTTTGGTCCATGATGACTTGCCTTCCGCCAGCGTGATATTTTGCTTTGTGGACGAGGTGTGGTCCACGCTCCTGCGCTCCGTGCACAGTGTCCTCAATAGATCTCCTCCACATCTCCTCAAAGAGATTATTCTGGTGGATGATTTCAGCACTAGAGGTGAGAAAAGTAAAGCTAAAACCATCAACAGGACTTTTTAATCCGGTCAGTTATGCTCCAGAACAATACTCGCCTGAGCTACTGCTAATCTAACACGAGCTACTACTAATGCCAACCTGAGTTACTGCTAACGATAGTTGAGCGACTGCTAATACTAGCGCAAGCTACTACTAACGCTAACCCAAGCTACTTGTAACGCTAGCATGAGCTCCTGCAAACACCATCTCGAGCTTTCTGCTAATGCTATCACAAGCTACTACTAATGCTAACTCGAGTTACTGCTCACGCTAGTCGGGGCTACTACTGATGTTAGCCCAAGCTACTGCCAACTCTAGCATGAGCTCCTGGTAACACTGTCCCAAGCTCTGTCTAATGCTAGCACATGCTACTACTAATGCTAACCTGAGTTACTGCTCACTTTAGTCGAGCTAATGCTAGCACAGGCTACTACTAATGCTAAACTGAGTTATTGCTCGCGTTAGTCGAGCTAATGCTAGCACGGGCTACTACTAATGCTAACCTGAGTTACTGCTCGCGTTAGTCGAGCTAATGCTAGCACGGGCTACTACTAATGCTAACCTGAGTTACTGGTAGCTCACGTCATTCAAGCTACAGATAATCCTAGCACGGGCTACTTCTAATGCTGGCCCAAGCTACTTCTAACGCTGTCCTGAGCTAATGCTAATACTAGGTCGAGCTACTGCTATCGTCCTTGTTGGACAAGAGGAACAAAACAAAGAATAATGTCAGAGCACACATGTAGCATTCTGGGATGTACTGGAACTATCTGGACTTTGGTAGACCTGTAGCTTCCCTGTTGAGTTATTCGGATACCATACATGGCTGTACACTAGGGGTTGTATGAACTAGTCGACTAGTCGACCTCACTGCTTTGTAGTGACTTTTTATGCCTGTCATCGACTAGTCGCTGTCACGTGATAATGACTGACATGATACAGTCCTCGGAAAAGACAGCAGGTGACGAGTCCCTTTGCGTCGGGAGGCGATGCGCTGTGCCAGAGCGTCGGTACTGACACCCGCCGTAAAACGGACATTTGACCAAATTGTGACCTTTACCCTGTTACAATTTAACCTTCCCCTCACCCCCATCCTAACCTTCACCGGCTTGCGCATGCAAAGCTCTGATTGTTGACGCGCTCCAGACATCTGCGTCCTGAGCACGGCCACAGTAACGTTATCAAATCAGGTGTCGCCACCTCAAAAACTAATTTAACACGCGATCATTCATGTCGGCTCATTTCCTTTTATGTTTTCTGTCTTTTATTTGTGTCTAATGCGTTTCACTGCTGTGGAGCGGGGCGCATCACCTTGTCCTCCGGTGACGCACCTCACTGATACGGCCGGCGAGCAGCGCGCACTCCGCTGTTTTTCTTTAGGATTGAGAGGAGATGCAGGAAGATAATAAACAGGCAGGACAGAAAAACAGTCAAATAAAAACAAGCTAGTTTTTGTACCTGGTGGTTGCAACAAACAGACACCATTGAAGGTAATCAGAAGTGAGGAACAAAAAATTAAATAATTATTTTAATGTTTAGAGCAGCAGGAAGTCCGAGAGGCTGCAGGCGCATCAGTGAGTTTGCGGTCGCTGCGCAGGGGGAGGGGGGAGAGGGCTGAAGCAGAAACTACCGTTGTTAAAAAAATGTGTTTAACTTTGAAAATGTGGGCGTAATTTTAATTGTCAAAAAAAACTCCAGCGAACCAACTGACACCCCCCCCCCCAACCCCACCCCCCGCGCGCCGCTTCAGGTGTATGACGTCATCAACGAACTAGTCAAAGTCGACTCGATTTTCATTTCTTGACAGTCGACTTTAAAAAAAATTAAGTCATGCAGCCCCCACTGTACACAGTTTCTAACTTCAGGCAGCGTCAGAGGTAAACCGGTAAATTGGCACACCGCTTATTTATTATTCACACCCTGGCCGAGCGAGCGTGGCAGACCAGTCCTTCCATCGTTATGGGATTGTGTTTCACACTTTATAAAGAGGCTCAAAGAACAGTTTTCATCTGTAACGAAAAAGTTGTTGTAGGATCCCTTTAACAATGTTTCAGCCTTGAAGTTGATATCTTGGCTTAAGTACGTGTTTACGTCCAGATTATCTGAAGGAGCCACTGGATCAGTACATGTCACAGTTTCCCAAAGTTCGGATCATTCGTCTGAAGGAGCGTCAAGGTCTGATCCGGGCCAGACTGGCTGGAGCTGCTGTTGCCAAAGGTAAACATGATCGCTCCATAAATTAATTCTAACCATATGTAGATATGTGCATGTCACAAGTGTGTTTGTTGTTTTGTCTGGGTTTTAATTATGAACCTGTTAAAATTAGTTTAACTGCAGCGGGATGTTTATTTTTTATTTTTTCCATGATTTAGGCGATGTTCTTACCTTTCTCGACTCCCATGTTGAATGCAACGTTGGCTGGCTGGAGCCACTCCTAGAGAGAATCTATTTAGATCGCAAGAAGGTGCCATGTCCAGTTATTGAAGTCATCAGCGATAAGGACATGAGGTAATTAAATAAAAACACATTTAAGTGACAGATAAGCGATATGTGAGCTGTAACCGTGTCTCCTAGAGCTAACATTCTGTGCTCGACCTAATATAGAAATCAATAAATGTCTTTTTGATGTTGTAACCTTTTTTCTGTGTCTTGTTATCTTCAGTTATATGCTTGTTGACAACTTCCAAAGAGGTATTTTCAAATGGCCTTTGGTGTTCGGCTGGAGCTCAGTACCAGATGATGTCATCAAGAAGAACAACTTGACTGTTTCTGATCCAATCAGGTATCATCCTTTAAATCTTCTTTCCAGACTTCATATTTCACAAGTATTCTCTTTCTGGACTAAAAGCCTTTTATTTTTATTTTTTTAATCCTTCATGTTAAAGGTGTCCAGTTATGGCTGGAGGCCTTTTCTCAATTGACAAAAACTATTTTTATGAGCTCGGTTCTTATGATCCTGGTCTGGATGTGTGGGGCGGAGAGAACATGGAGATTTCATTCAAGGTATATCTGGTTTCTAACTCATCTCATGGAAGTAGTCAAAACTTTTAAGACCCTTCACGGATTTATTTACTTTTTTCTCATGGCTAAAATTTCACATAATTGCACCCTTCGAGCAGATCTGGATGTGTGGCGGAGAAATCGAGATCATCCCTTGCTCCCGGGTGGGACACATTTTCCGTGGGCAGAATCCTTACAAATTCCCAAAAGACCGGCAGAAGACGGTGGAGCGTAATCTGGCGAGGGTGGCTGAGGTTTGGCTGGATGAGTACAAAGATCTTTTCTACGGCCACGGGTACCACCACCTGCTGGACAAAAAGGTCATCGATATTGGGAACCTGACGGAGCAGATCGAGCTTAGGAAGAGGCTCCAGTGCAAAAGCTTCAAGTGGTACCTGGAGAACGTGTATCCAGACATGGACGCTCCTCTGGTCAAGGCTGAGGGCCTGGTTTGTAGTCAGATTACATCATTAGAGTAATTTATACATCAGTCATTAGAATAAATTCAAGAAATTCATGTAAATATATACATTTGAACAAAAAAGCATTTGCATTTTAGTGCTTTTACGTTTGTATTTTTTTTTAATTAACTTTTTTTTTTTTTAGGTTTTCAATCGTGGCCTGAGAAAGTGCCTCACCCTGCAGAAAGGCTCTTTGTCCTTTGATATATGTGATCTAAACAAACAGGTAGGGTTGGTTTTGTTTATGAGGTCATTTGTTGCAAATATTAAGAAAACGTGCAATTTCTTTATTTTTCTGTGGGGGGGGGGGGGGGGGGGGGAGGGAATATATGCAAGTCTGCGATAACGCCATAGGTCACGCTGCAGTTCATCAAAGAAAAAAGCGTGGTTCCAGACCGAGAGTGTAAGCCATGATAAACAAGGGTGGAGTTTCAGACCGAGGCTTTTCTAAATGTGAACCGTTTGGATCCGAGCCACGCCAGAGAAGCAGCTCTTGCTCTCATGTAGTGTTTAAGATTTGCAACATAATCACATGCTCGTAACTCCTTGTTTTTATTCCCTGGAATTCAGAATCAGCACTTTAATTACACCTGGATGAGGCATATTCAGCAGCAGGGCCTGTGTGTCGCTCCTCAAGTCAGGAAAAACGGCATCGTGATGACATCGTGCGACAACACTAAACCGGAACTCCGCTGGTTCCACAAGAACTCCAACTCCGCTCTAGTAAGACATCTTTTTATAGCTCAGTTATTTTAGGACGTTCTCATCTGAGTCTGTTCCCTCGTGTGTGTGTTAAAGGCGGAGAACCTCATCGCAGAGCTGGTTCCTAACCGCATGTGCCTGGAGGCAGAACCTCGGGGGGACTTGGTTCGTCTCGGCCCGTGTGAACCCAGCAGCATCTTCCAGAAGTGGCAGTTTACACATTACATTGTAAAATGACGAGACAAGTTTTTAACATGCACTGATGAGGGCGTCTAAATGAATTTACCGGAGGAAACCGGGATCAGTTTGGTGGCAGTGAAGTGGGAATGTGTGAAACAGATTATTTTTATTCAAATTGAATTTCAGTTTATTGATTAAACTGTGCTTTTTATGTTTTCTTTACTGGGACTGAATGATGAAAATAATGATTTTTTTCTTTACATCATGTTATTTATGCTGCTGGTTTGGGTTTGGATGTTAAAAAAAAAAAAAAAAAAAAAACAACTGGTGAACACTTCCTTTTTCTGTCACTAGAGGAAGATGTTGCTTCAATAAAAACCTGTGATCCGATTTTAATAACATTTGCAAACATTTTAAGTAAATCTGATGGAGAGGGGGTCCTCTTATGAAAGAAAGAAATAATAAAAAAAATACACATTGGTTACATGTTGTTTATTTAATTAATTTTGTACTCTGACAAAGGTACATTTATGTTGTAGTTTCTTAAAGGTGTAGAACACTGAAAAGCCATCTTTTTAAAAGATTATTTCTGATTATAATCTCTCACTCTTGAGTTTTTCATGCAGGCTGAACATGAAAATAGTATCCTAAACCTGTCTGCTCCATTAGTTTATGATAGAAAATTAGGATTTGAAAGTCCTGACCCATCTACGTCACACTGTCACTTAACATTCCTGGATTCACCCATCTTGACTCATGATGAGGAAGGCTGTTGTTGGTTTAACGTCCAGGAAACCGCAGATCGTGTCTACGCTAGTAGAAGCTAACTGCTAGCATTAGCAACTTAACAAAGCAGTAGCTCATCCAAGCTTGAGTTTTTTTTTTTTAGATAAAGCAACATTGCAAATCAGCGGTAGAGTCACGTTGCTATTATCCAATCAGAGGCGAGATGTCCAAATATCTGGAAATAAAAGACTCCCAATCCTGCTATCGGAGGCCCAATCCCAATACTCGCTCTTCCACCCTTGCTTCTTTCAACTGCAAGTTCCAGTCCAGGGGTGCAAGTGAGTAGGGTGTCCCAAACCTCAAGTGCATAGTTGGCCACGCCTCTTTTGCACCCTTGATCCGCACTTCGCCCAAGTCTGCATCGATGCAGACTTGGGCGAATGGTATTACCCACAATCCATTGTTGCGTGGGAGTTTTGAGAAGAAGGCTCAAGTGCCTTTTCTGAAAATATGTATTTTCAAACAGAAGTTATTTTGAAAACAATAATGTTTATTCATGCTCTGAATGTTTTAGACTAAGATTTAATGTGAACAGCAAATAATGAAAATTCTGTAAATTGTTTGAAAGTTGTTTTCTTGGAAAAGTTGCACAAATAGTGACCGGTGTGCATTGCGGTCAGTGATGCAACGCTCACGTTCTAATTCGGCAATCATTTGCACACTTAAGGCCTTACTGCGCACTTCCTCCAAGTGCACTTTGCTGAAGACCGTAGGGCGCAGCGCAAGTTTTGGGATTGAGCCCAGCTGTGATGTGGTGGTGTCCTGGAAATGGTGCACAGGTGTTTTTTGCTCCCCCGAGTACAGCTTACAAGGCAGTCACTCCTACTAGAGACCACTGCAAATGTATTGATTGAACAAGTGTTCTACGCCTTTAAATATTTTTGAAGTTTTTTTTACAGCCGCTTAAATTGTTCCAGTGTCACAGAATTCTCTTTAAATTATTTATTAAAAGTTTTTATTTAAATTTTTTTAGAAACGTGACAAGTAGATTTAATAAAAGCTAAAGACAAATTAAACAAGCTGATAAGTTCCACTAAACTAAACATATAAATTAATGGTATTATTGGCTATACTGGTGAAACTCCAAAATTTTTTAATATCGTTCATTTATGTCAGTAATTTATCTTAAAAAGTGAAACTAATATATGAGATTAAATTACTGGAATAAATGGACTTTAGCACCATATTCTAACTTTTCGAGTTTCACCTGTAGTCTGAAAAGTAGGTCATCACTGATTCTTTAGGATGAACTCGAACTCCTCTATCCTCTGCCGGGTGTTGCCTCTCTGGATCTTGCGGTACGACACGGTGCTGTATTTGGAAGAATCCAGGTGGTTGAAGGAAATGATGTCTGATTCTTTGGGCTGAGAGGAGGTTGAGTGATCTTGGTTTGGGTTTTGAGGAGCTTTCAAGATCTCCAGGTCTTCTTCAGAGCAACTGTCTGATTTCTGGGGTTTAGCATCACACAGATGTTCTTTGCCCCTCACACCTGGATCCAGGTGTGATCTGGCTTCTTCCATCGTTTCCTCCTTCCTGTAACTTACTGAAAAGAAAGAAAAAGTTTTTGGGGGGTCATTTAATACTTACAAAGCCTTTGCTTTCCTACCTTTTGCTGCTGATTCATTTATCGATTCATCTAAATCCATTAAGCTTGATGGCAGAAACTCTCGAGTTTTCGTAAACTTTTCAGTTTCAGATTTGTGCATTTTTTTAGAATTTCCTTTCTGAAAATGTCTGTTTTCCTCCTCCGTCCATTCGACATCCCATCTCCTCTCTGAATTTTCTTGGTGAGCCATGGCTTCATCTCCTGAGGCGTTATTCTGTTGGTCTGCTTCATCTGCCACACTGTTGACCAGATTTCTGCATTTGTTGCCACTAAAACCAAACAACACGGCAGCTTCTCCGCTCTGACGAGCTTGCTCCTCGTCGCTGTAGAACACAGAGTCATCTCCCATCTCCACTGACCAAGAATCTCTCGCCTCCTCTGTCCTCTCCAGCGTTTCCAGGGCCTTCCTGTTAATGATCTCCAGTAAGTGGGATGCCTGAGCATCTTCTCCTTCTGCACTGATCTTTTGACAATCTGAATTATCCTCCATTGTTCGAGTCTTTAGTAGATTTTAAAGTGAAAGTTAAATATGATCACCTTTATCCAGATCCTGTTGTTGCCTCTGGAGCATGCAGCTTGCTCTCTGGTGTTTGTACCATGCAAGTCTGCGCGTTTGTTGACTCACTGAAGAACAGAGGTTCTGTTGTGGGCCCAACAAATGTTCATTGTAATGCTGGTTGCTGCATATGGAGCAATTGTCTTCATTTTTAAATCTCTGCTTGGTGACAAACTTCTTTCTCTAGCATTTTAAACTTAGAATAGCTTCCTCCCATATTGTCCTATACCTGAAATGGTTTTGCACGTGCAGATCTGGTATGTAACATAAGGACCTTATGCTTTTTTGTCTATTTGTATCGTTCACATGAAATTTTTGTCAACTTACAGTATGTGCAGCACTGTCCATTGTTTGGTAAAAAGTCTGTTTCATCTCAAACTGAACATAATATGCTCAGAAATCTGGAGTTTTTCTACAGAAGGCATCATCTACAGGCAGAAACATGGATTGCATCATAAGCCCTCACTACTTTCAGTGATTACAGCTGGAAGCAACGCCTCTCTCTCATTTGTGGACGAAACCTCTACCTGGGCAACAAAGCTAAAACACATTGTTGTGTGTGTGTGTGTGTGTGTGTGTGTGTGTGTGTGTGTGTGTGTGTGTGTGTGTGTGTGTGTGTGTTCTCTGTGATGGACATCTGTTTGTAAGTAAATGTCCAACGCTATTGGCAAATGCTGAGCACTACTCATTTCACATTACATGGGGCTTTACGGAATGGGGGTGGGCTTAGCAAAAAAATGCATTATCTGTAATGTACTGTGTATAGTACAGTAAGGCTGGAGCTCTTGAGACCTTTGTTTTCCACCCAGTTCTCCCCTCCCTGCAGCTCGGCGCATCTCTGATCGCCGCGGCTCCTGTCTGCTGCGCGGGTTGCCGGCTTGTGGAGCTCTCGGATGGAAACCGATGTTTTCCACCCGGTTCTCCCCAGCGACAGTTCTGCGCATCTCAGATCGCAGCGGCGCTTGTCTGCTGTGCGGCTGCCGGCTTTCAGCAGCTTTCGGGAGTCCTCTGTGTTCCACCCGGTTTTACCCAGCGGTCAGCCCAGTGTATCTCTGACTCAGAAGCTCTGGTGTTGTGCACAGTAGTTAACTCCGGTTGTAGCTAGGTTGCTACCTCCGTTAGCTTAGCTCCCATCTCCGCGTTAGCTTTGGGTTAGCTTCAGGTTAGCTTGTAGCTAGTTCGACCGGGTGTGGTCAGTTGATCCCAGCCTTACAGCTCCACCTTCAGCTCCACCTCTCTTCCATTTTGTGGAATTGTCTGGGCTTGGCGGAACCTGTGACACGGTCAAAATGGTGGTGGTGGTGGCCACCTCACATTTCTCCTCAAAAATGTGTTACTGGAGCCTATGGAAATGAACTGTCCAGTATATATGTCAATGGTTTTGAACTTAGAAGAGTAGCAAACCTACAAAAATGTTCTAGTTAATTTACATTTTCAAATGCAGAGTATTATTTTAGTGTGGCATATGAATTTGATTATTTGAAAATACTATCAACAGACCAAATTCACAGTAAACAAGTTAAGTTTTCTAAATTTTGTTCTTAACATTTCGACTACATGTTTAAAATGGACAACCACTACAAAATAACACTCAATGGCACAATAGAAAATAATATATAAAATGTTTTTCCACTTGTAATGTCATTTATTATCGGGGGCGATGGTGGCACAGGAGTTTAGTGCTTGCCTCGTAATCGGAAGATTGCAGGTTTGAGCCCCACTCAGTCTGTTGTTGTCATTGTGTCCTTGGGCAAGGCAATTACCCCCCCCCCCCCCCCCCCCCCCCCACACACACACACACACACACACACACACCACCCCCAATGCCTGCCGGTGGCGCCTGTGCACAGCTGACTCGCCTCTGTTAGTGCGCCCCAGGGCAGCTGTGGCTACATCGTAGCTCATCCCCACCAGGGGAATGAGTGTGTGAATGGGTGAATGATGGTGTTGTAAAGTGCCTTGGGGGGTTCCAGGACTCTAGAAGGTGTTACATCAAATACAGGCCATTTACCATTTATTATGTTGAGGTATTAAAAGATGTTTTTCTCACGCTAACATGGTGCTCTTGGGTGCCCCCTGGTGATGTGGGGGGCACAGGCAGTCACTTAACTTGCATTCCTGGGTTGGCTCTGCGTTTGTTGCATGTTTTCTTATAAAATTTTGTATTAAAATATGAAAAGCAGAACCTTGTTAGAAGCTGAAGTCATCAACTCTTTGAAACAACAAGTTGAAAATATGAAAGTAGTGACCAAAATCTAAATTGAGAGGGTAAAAAGGGCATTTCTAACATACAATACTGCAGCCTGAATGTAGAAAAATTCTATTTGTTTTCCAGAAAACAGGATCTTTCATGGAGGTAAAGTCAAAGAGTCGGAGTACCCGGCCCGGAGGGTTACCGGGGTCCCACCCTGGAGCCAGGCCTGGGGTTGGGGCCCGTGAGCGAACACCTGGTGGCCGGACTTTCGCCCATGGGACCCAGCCGGGCCCAGGCCAAACCGGATACATGGGCTCATCCAACTGTAGACCCACCACCCGCAGGAGGAACATGAAGGGTCCGGTGCAATGTGGATCGGGTGGCAGACCAAGGCGGGAGCCTTGGCGGTCGGATCCCCGGACAAGAAAACTGGTTTTTGGGACATGGAATGTCACCTCGCTGGCAGGGAAGGAGCAGGAGCTTGTGGCAGAGGTTGAGCGGTACCGGCTAGATATAGTCGGACTCACCTCGACACATAGCATTGGCTCTGGAACCCAAGTCCTTGAGAGGGGTTGGACACTCTCCTTTGCTGGAGTTGCTCCGGGTGAGAGGCGGAGGGCTGGGGTTGGCTTTTTGTTAGCCCTAAGACTCTCTGCCTGTGTGTTGGGGTTTACCCCGGGGGACGAGAGGGTAGCTGCCCTGCGCCTCTGGGTCGGGGAACGGGTCCTGACTGTTGTTTGTGCTTATGGGCCAAATATCAGTTCAGAGTACCCACCCTTTTTAGAGTCCCTGGGATGAGTGCTAGATAGTGCTCCATCAGGGGACTCCATTGTCGTGCTGGGGGACTTCAATGCTCAAGTGGGCAATGACAGCTTGACCTGGAGGGGTGTGATTGGGAGGAATGGCCCGCCTGATCTTTACTCAAGTGGTGTTTCGTTATTAGACTTCTGTGCAAGCCGCAGTTTGGCCATAACGAACACCATGTTCGAACATAAGGATGCCCATCGGTACACTTGGTACCAGGACAGCCTAGGTCGCAGGTAGATGATAGACTTTGTAGTCGTATCATCTGACCTGCGGCCGTATGTTTTGGACACCCGAGTGAAGAGAGGAGTGGAGGTGTCAACTGATTACCACCTGGTGTTGAGTTGGATCAGATGGCAGGGGAAGATGCCGCGTAGACCTGGCAGACCCAAATGCATAGTGAGGGTCTGCTGGGAACGCCTGGCAGAAGAACCTGTTAAGATGGTCTTCAACTTCCACCTCCGGCAGAGCTTTGACCGCGTCCCAAGAGCAGTGGGGGACATGGACTCCGAGTGGGCCTTGTTCCACTCTGCGATTGTTGTCAAGCTCCACACTAGTTTCACTCTAAAGGGACACTTTGGGACAACTCCATCACATTCCAACAATTTTTATTGTCAGTTCAGTGAACATTAGGTTGATAACCTTCAAAGAACAGAGATAAGTGTTAGATGTCACATCATTTATATAAAATACAATAAACAAAGAACTTCTAAACTAAATCTTCCCACACTAACAGTGTAAACAATTAAATTAAAGCATGACTTCAAAGGTCACCCAAAACAACTTCATATCATAAATAAAACAATAGTTACCAACCATTGGCGTCTTTAGAGTCAACTCATTGTTAGAGCTTGCTGTGCTGTTCCTGTTTGGCTGAGGACTGAGAGCCACCACCCTGCATAGGTGTTTTTTATCACCAATCAGTCGCCATTTTGTTGGTGCATTCTGGGAGATGTAGTTCTCAGTGGTGGTGGACCAGTTAGACCTCCATTTACTCAACTTTAACCCAACAATTGTTGAGGCGGCTGTTGCTAGCTGTGGTCACAAGGTGGCCGGTGCCAGTCGTGGTGGCAACCCCTGTACCCGCTGGTGGACACCAGAGGTTCGGGGAGCCATCAGGCTGAAGAAGGAGGCCTACAGAGCGTGGCTGGTCTGTGGGTCTCCGGAGGCAGCAGACAGGTACCGGATAGCCAAGCGGGGTGAAGCAGTGGCAGTTGCCGAGGCAAAATCTCAGGCGTGGGAGGAGTTTGGTGAGGCCATGGAGAAAGACGATCGATCAGCTCCAAAGAGGTTCTGGCAAACTGTCCGGCACCTCAGGAGAGGAAGGCAGCAACTCGCTCACACAGTTTACAGTGGGGATGGGGAGCTGCTGACGTCAACTGAGGCAATAGTCAGACGGTGGAAGGAATACTTTGAGGAGCTCCTCAATCCCACCTATGCGCATTCCGAGGAGGAACCAGAGCCGGGAGGCCTGGGGATGGACTGTCCGATCTCGGGGGTAGAAGTTGCTGAGGTAGTCAAACAACTACACAGCAGCGGAGCCCCAGGGGCGGATGAGGTTCATCCTGGGCATCTCAAGGCTATGGATGTTGTAGGGCTGTCATGGTTGACACGTCTCTGCAACATTGCGTGGTCATCGGGGGCAGTTCCTGTGGAGTGGCAGACCGGGGTGGTGGTCCCCATCTTTAAGAAGGGTGACCTGAGGGTGTGTTCCAACTATAGGGGGATCATACTCCTCAGCCTCCCTGGAAAGGTCTACTCCAAGGTACTGGAGAGGAGGGTCCGATCGATCGTTGAATCTCAGATTGAGGAGGAGCAATTTGGTTTTCGTCCTGGCCGTGGAACTGTGGACCAGCTCTATACCCTTGCAAGGGTGATGGAGGGGCATGGGAGTTTGCCCAACCAATCCACATGTGTTTTATGGATTTGGAGAAGGCTTATGACCGTGTCCCCAGGGGCACCCTGCGGAGGACGCTCCAGGAGTATGGGGTGGGTGGATTTCTGTTAAGGGCCATTCAGTCCCTTTACCAGAGGAGCGTGAGTTTGGTCCGCATAGCCGGTAGTAAGTTGGACCTGTTCCCGGTGAGGGTTGGACTCCGCCAGGGCTGCCCTTTGTCACCGGTTCTGTTCATTACCTTTATGGACAGAATTTCTAGGCGCAGCCGTGGTGTGGAGTGTGTCGAGTTTGGTAGCAGGAGAATCTCATCTCTTCTTTTTGCGGATGATGTGGTCCTGCTAGCTTCATCCAGCTCTGACCTTCAGCTCTTGCTGGGTAGGTTCGCGGCCGAGTGTGAAGCGGCTGGGATGAGGATCAGCACCTCCAAATCTGAGACCGTGGTTCTCGACCGGAAAAGGGTGGCTTGCCAACTCCGGGTCGGGGGAGAGGTCCTACCTCAAGTGGAGGAGTTTAAGTATCTCGGGGTCTTGTTCACGAGTGAGGGTAGGAGGGATCGGGAGATCGACAGGCGGATTGGTTCAGCATCTGCTTTGATGCGAACGCTGAGCCGATCTGTCGTGGTGAAGAGGGAGCTGAGCCAGAAAGCCAGGCTCTCGATTGACCGGTCAATCTATGTCCCAATCCTCACCTATGGTCATGAGCTTTGGGTAATGACCGAAAGAACAAGATCGAGGATACAAGCAGCCGAAATGAGTTTCCTCCGTAGTGTGGCCGGGCTCAGCCTTAGAGATAGGATGAGGAGCTTCGGACATTCGGGAGGGACTCGGAGTAGAACCGCTGCTCCTCCGGATCGAAAGGAGCCAGTTGAGGTGGTTTGGGCATCTGGTCAGGTTGCCTCCTGGACGCCTCCCGGGGAGGTGTTTCAGGCATGTCCTGCCGGCAGGAGGCCCCCGGGTCGACCCAGGACACGTTGAAGAGGTTACATCTCCAATCTGGTCCGGGAATGCCTTGGGGTCCTGCCGGAGTTGCTGGTGGAGAAGGCCGGGGAGAGGACAGTCTGGAGCTCCATAGTTGGGATGCTGCCCCCGCGACCCGAACCCGGATAAACAGAGGAAGACGACGACGACGATGAGAAAACCTTTTTTTAATGTGAATTCGGAAGAGGTAATTTCAATTTTTGTTTGTACTGCATCAATTAAAATGGCACTGAGATATCAGAAAGAAGATAAGACTTTATTAGAATTCCCCTTTGCCAACTTCTAGTTACTGGAAGGCTCTTTATCTCTTTCGATTCAGCAGGAAGTGTTCGAAGTTGGACCTATTATAGGAACCTGGTAAGAGTTTGCTGGTGAATATCTGTTTTTGGAAAGCTTCTGTGCTTTATCTACAATAGAAAAGCATTCTTCCTGTTGCACATACACCTTTCCAGAAAAAGAGAGTTAGAAAGTTTTTTTTTAATTACTTCATAAATTTACACCATCTGGATTTGATGCACAGAAATCAACAGCAGAACTTTCATATTTGCGTATAATCATCAGTAAGTGCAGAAACTAGCAGTGTTAGAGTTTCAGAGCAAAGAAATTCAGTTGAAGCAGATGTGGTTTCGAAGTGATTTTAGAAAAGAAAAAAGAAAAGTAAAGTAGTACTCTTCCGCCCACATCCTGTTTTGAACTAAGCAAGCGTATATGTGTGTACGGTGTAGATTTGGTTTTGGTTTGGGCACCTGGAAGTCTGCTTAAATGTTCTTTAGGTCACATTTTAAAACTGAATGCGCATTATTAAATCTCAATCTGCTCTGGTTAATGCTACTAGCACTGAGGTACAAAAAGGAAATTCTCATTCAAGTTAGTAGGATACAGTAATTCATCTTCTGTACATTTCAGTCTGTCGGGTGTACATTCATCCAACACATTCATTTTGTAATGCTTTCCCACTCATTGTAATTTCAGTGAAGCTCACTGAAGGCTCAAAAAGCATTAAGGTAAACCTTCACCCAAAAAAGGTAGTCCTTTTTCACTTGATGGGTTCACTCAAACCCAAGTTTGAGAAAACTTATAATAGTTCTGTGGTCAATACAAAACATATTTATGAAGTTATTTCCATATAAAGAATATCACATAAAGAGATCTCAGCAGTTTTGATGGTTTAAGCACCTTCCAGAATGAGCCGTTTCAGGTCTCTGTCACTTTAAGAAAACAAGCTGGAGCTGGCCACGCCCACTCATCCCCCGCTCAAGCTGCTGTAAGCTGAGAAGCTCAGATATCTGTAAGGGGCTTGAAGTAGAGCCACAGCTCCTCCAGCCTGGAGATGTCAGAGGGGGCTCTATGCAAATGTCCCCGTTTGTGACATCACAAATGAGGGCCTTTTAAAGCGGCTTGTTTTAAGCATCCAATACCTGAAACCAAACATTGACGGGTGGTTTTGATTTTCACATTTCAAGTGTTTATAGAGGCAGTAGAGACCCACATGGCCACACAAACAGATGCAAAAAGTGAGTTGTGCATAAGATGCCCCCTTTAAAGTGTCCAATCGTATTGTTGTGTCTACACATGGATGACCAGTAGGTCACTGAGTGGGTGTCGCCATCTCCTCCTCTTCCACTGATCTCTGAAGTGCAGGAATTAACTTAAAGATCTGTTGGCGCACAGTGCCTCTCCTGCTCTTTCTGGGCAGAGTTCCAAACAAGGACGAGATCCTCGTCTCATCCCAGGATGGAGATAAGGAGGTGTTGCTGCCGGCCAAGCTGGAGCTGCTGGAGCGGCTGAGGGCTTGGTGGTGCAGGCTGCTGGACGAGAGCCTCTTAGAGGCATCCTGTGTAGGAAAGTCTCTGGAGAAGAAGCAGCCATCATCCGTGGTGCTGATCGCGCTGCCAGGGCTGGGCGAGCTCAGCTCCCCGAACACGCTGGCCTGGTCGCTGTCGTCGGTCATCCCGCTCTTGTAGCTGCTGTCGCTGGAGAAACGTCGGCCGTGGCAAACGACAGGGGAATTCAGAGCAGCCTGGGCCTCCATGAGCAGGTCGAGGCTGCGGTTGTTTAAATTACCTGAGAAAACAAAACAAAGTTGCTGTCAGGAAAAGTTTCCACAACCGGAAGGTCATGCGCGGCTTCTGCTGTATGCTGATTTCTCAGGGAAACACCAGCAGCAAAATCATCGACAGTTTACGCGCAACAGCGTTTCACATGTTGAAGGCTGCTTTAGAAGAAAAGACTAGGCATGTGTGAGAAAGGAAGTGCTGTGGTCTGACAGCTGAGCCAAGCCTCTCACCTCGCAGTAAACGTTTTTCCTGTAATGTGAGCGCCTGGAGCTCCATCAGCTTCTCGCGATGCGACTGCTGCATGGGTGGAAGACATCACAGTTATGATTTACTAAATATGTCAGCTCAAAAAGTAAGGATTATAAATGAGAAAAGAGGCAATGGATTGACCTTTAGCTGCGTATCTATTTAAAAAGTGACTGTTTTTAGCTTCCAGGTGGGCTCTTGCAGGCTGATGAGCCCTTTTTAGAGCTGCTCAACACCAGTGAAGGGACTCACCTTGAGTTGGTCCAATCTCTTCTCCAGCTCTATCTGCTTCAGGATGTTCACACACCCAGTCTCCATCCTGAAACCAGATGATGACATAGTTATTATGCTAGTTTTAAATAAATAAGTGACATTTTGTTAAAGATCAGTGTTTTCTCTCACTTTAGGTTGTTGGTCGATTCTCGTATTAGATTAAGCACGAGTTCATGAGAGAGTCCTTCTATGCTGACCCCGTTGACAGTAATGATGACATCACCTATGACAAATAAAGTGAGAAATCATTATGGGATGAGTTTTGATGGGTTATCGTGTCTGAGTTGGGTCTATGTGGAGGAGGATGTGGGTGGTTTACCTGCGGTCAGCCCGGCACTCTCAGCGACGCTGTCCTCCTTCACCTTGCTTATGAAGGTGCACATCTCCACTGCAGAGCTGGTTTTCTGCTTCAATCCATATGTCTGCAAACAATAGGATCACACAAAAAAGCACTGTCATGCAAAACTATCATCTCCATCATAAGCAGAATGTGCATTTTACTACGCTTAAAGTAGAGCTTACCTGGATTTCAAATCCGAATGTTTCATTGTCGTGCTTCTCCAAAACGGTTGAGGTTCTGTGCAGAAGATTGTTGCAAGAATAATTGAGCGATGCGAACTTTTGTATGTAATAAATCTAAAACGGAGCGTTCTGGTCTGCTTACCTTTGTGGGTCTGAGTAATCAACCAGTGAGGTGGTGGTTGGCTTGGGCTGCAGATGGGAAAAAACGTTTCTTTTAAAAAATAATCAAAAATATTTCAACCTTTCATTAAAATGTTCTTTAGCTAATCCTTGTGTGAAGTTTGCAGTTATGAACCAGTTTTGACAAAAAGCCGTGTTAAAGATCATGCTTTATACAAACAGCAATTGGCTTGTCGTCTCACCTTGCAGGCTCTAGGTTGAGTTCCAGCGTTCTGTCGGTGTCGATCAGTGTTCCCCCTCAGTGAGCGCCGGTACCACAGAGGCTTCTTCTTCAGACTGTTCTCCTGCACCTCCTGGCTGCTCTCCCGCTGAAGTCCATTAAAATTCATGGTGTTTAAGTGGAGTTTGTTCTCAAAGCATCATCTTGTCCCGCTGCAGCGGCTCTTCTGTGATTGTGTGGCCCTGACCCGCTGTGCTGCCAAAAGCCAAATGTGTGACAGCGGAAATCCACGTCATGTGAGGGTTGTGGCGGACCTGCATCTGCAGATCACAGCCTACCACGCACCTATTTTCCTGTTCACCTCCTTTCAGCTTTTTCTCTCTCTTTCTTTAGAAGTGCTGCTCTGCTGTCTCGAAACGGGGAAAAGAGGAAGAGTGCTGATGCTATTGTGTCTAATTCCCCCCTTCAAAGAGTCCCTTTACTTTTTGTAGTCATAGCAATTCGATTTATGGTCTGTCAGAAAGCAGCAATGCATGAAAAGTTGCCACCTCACTCCCGCAGCAGCACCTGCTTGCACACTTTTTCACTCTCCGTTTCTCAATGGGCTAAGCCTCGGTCCCTGTGTTCTGCCAAGCAGGCAGACTTGTCTTGTGAGGGCGGACAAAAGGCTCAGGGGCCAGATTCGAACGTTTAAAACACATAGCATGGGTCATTGGGCTAAAAGCATCAGACATGGTTGGATCAGATGAACAATCACACACTGGGCCGGACAGAAGTCAGGGAGACTGTGGTAAACGAGTTAAAGGAACTTCTCTCTCTGCAACACTTGTGATTTTTTAAATGTCTTCATGGAAACCTGAAAACTGTTTCAGCAACAGTGCATTAGAAAAACACATGAAAGATTCCTGAAATAATAGGTTGCGTCACAGTAATCCACTCCGTTCCACTGATCCTCCGCTGGCCAGCTGATCACGAGACTGTCTGGAACATTTCAGAGGACGCTGCAAATCCCCAGCCACCCCATTAGATATTACATCGCGTCCAAAAAAACATTTTAGTTATCTGTTCTGAACACCAAACCCTGTCTTTTTCATTAAAAAATAAAGCTATTTGACAAGCTGTGACAAACTAGACTCAAGATCTGTTTAATTTCTGCTAAAATTTGGACATTTTATCCTCTTTTTGCAAAGAAAATGTGCATTTTTAAATAGGCATCCACAGATGTGTGTTCTTCTGTACAAACTAATATCCTCGTCTTCAGCAGCTCCTCAGCCCTTTTGCAGAAGCATCATTGTTTCAAGTGTCTTTATAATTTGCATATTTGTCTACCAGTTTCCTCACATATGCTGCCTGTTTCAAATCCCCCCCAGCAACAACTAAGTGGGTTTTATCTGTCTAGTTCAATAACCCTTTTACTTCTTTTTATTAGTTGATTTGTCAATGTGCATAAGAGTTTCTGGTTTTAAATGCAAAATGTGTTGTTTCACTTGTTACTTCTGCTGATTTCTCTGCATCCACAGATCATAACACTTCCACCCACATGCTTCACATTTGAGGTTCTTGCTTTTAAAAAAAAGAAGTGGTTTAGTAACTGACATGATTTGCTTGTGCAAAACAGTTTGTTTTATTCACAGTTCATCTGGTCGATTTTTTAGCTTTTCGGTCATTTCAAAATGCAAATTGTTGCAAACAAATGCAAGATTTTCCTGCAGATTTGCAGTTCTTGAAGCTTTTTGAATTGAATGGATTTAGTGGGATAAATCGGATAAATACACAAGAGGTGTGCATTATTTTTGTAAATACAACTTGACAAATGGGAAGTGATTATATGTTTGTAGCATGAATCAAGATCTAAAATTCTTCTGGGTGTGATTCTAAATATTCTTTATCAAGTTGTCTGTTGTGTGTGGGGAAAATACAGTTTCATTCTATTTTTTAAATGTCATTATTGTGCTTTAAATGTTTTTACAGCTATTCGGGTCAACCAGTACCTAAATTAATTATATGTCGAGATTAAACTGGTCCATGTCATCTGTAGATCCTCCACCGGAGGATAGAAGACAGGTGTAGAACTGAATATTTGCACATTTCTGATGAATATACTAGTCCTAATATTGGAAGTGCTGCATATAGCAAAAAAACTAGTCTACATGAGGTTAAAATAGCACTAGTTAGTTTTTAATGATGTTGCTTTCAAACTGGTTTCAGTGCTTCTTGAGTCAGAAACTTGATCTGCTCGACATTGACACTCTGCTGCCCTCTGCTGACCAGAAACTACACTTAACAGTTTTGTGGTTCTAGTTGGCACCATAGGTCTCTTACTTCGGACAGCTAACCGTTCTCTAGCTGAGGGTGAGTGCACGGCTCAAATAAAAATACTCATAACTCAATGAAATATTAACGGATTTACAAACGGTTTGCCTCATTACAAACCGTATGATACATAGACTTGATGCGGGAAACTTACACATGTAGAAATTACCGTTATTACTTTTGAAACACGACATAACTGTGAACAATGTGTCCCGGCTAAGCTATGTTGCGCGTTAGGTTGAGAGAGAGACCACAATCAATATTTTTATAGGGTTCGTATGGTTCAACGAAAGTAAGAAGTGTACGTAAACCTAATGTTTGTCTAAATGGCTGTCTTGGTGGATGTTTTAGTGTTTATTAGCTGTCTAACTTGGCTTAGAGAAGACGAGGCTGCCGTGGCTGCGCCGCTTAGCTACAACGTTTTTACCTCAGTGGAAGCTGAGGGTAAAATTGCCCTTGTTTTCCAGGCGGCTTACTTTGTAAAAAAAATGTAAAAAACTTAGACTGAAGTATATTAAAATAGCGGAAATTGCTGGCTTTGTTTTTACAGAAATACACGTGAAACCCAACAAGCATGACTTTTGTGCTGCCTATGGATGCTCTAATAGACGATGTCTTCAATCACGGCAACGTGGGATCACCTTTCATTCGTAAGATTTAACAAAAACATTCAACTGTGTTAGGCTGATTAGTCTCTGTCATCTGCTTTGCTTTTAACTGCTTTTTAGAAATAACAGTGATGGCAAAGTTTAAGATCTATCAGCTAACTGTGATTTTAAAAAGGTTAATTGCTTGAATTCAAGATTTCTTGGTTAATCAATCATTGCATGTTTCTGTCTTGACACCATTTATTTAACTATTGTTTGTCTTATGTTCATGTTAAAGGAAAAGGCTGTAAACTATTTAGAATGATTTATAAAGCTGCCTACATTTTGTCTCTTGTTTAAGATTTCTCAAAGATGGAGAAAGAAGGAGGCAGTGGGAAGTTGCCCTAAGAAGTGTCTGCGATCTTCCTCAGAGCTGACGCTCAGTGGCGTCACGATCAAAACTGTCAGCAAGGTAAAAAACCTTCCCCGTGTTTCAAAAATAAGCTAAAAAAGCAGTCAGAAGAAAAACACAAAAGATGTTTGCTGTCTTTTGAAAAACTGCTGGCTTATCAAATCCCCCTGAGAAATACATACAATGAATAAATTCCACACTTACTAATCATTACTTGTTTGCCTTTAGGTAGTCAAACTAAAGTTCTTGTCTTATGTCTCACCTGACATCATATTGTTCTAAAGGCCTATGTAAAGTATAAAGGCAACCACATTGTCCAGTTACATTGGTATTTGTAATTTCAGGATTCGTCGTGCGGCGAGCCATGACCAAGCTGTCCTGTGATGTCTGCCGTGCCACCCTGGTGATGGATGCTGCATCTGCCTGTGATGACCAGATCTACCATTTGCTGGCTCTGAAGAACAACGGGGGTCTTGTGGTCCCATCTGAAGGTACTGTGAGGGTCATCAGAGCAGCAGAGTGGGCAATTCGCCAGGCATCAGTGGGCAGACGATCACAGCCCATCAAACCACTGGAGGTCATCTACATCTTGCGCAAGAGGATCGGGTCAGAGGATGTCTTTTTGCTTGGGGAGCACATCAGTACGGAATTGAGTCTCACTCCCATACACTAATGACATCTATTGTCTCCCTGTTCTTTAAGCTGAGGATGCACCACATTGCAAGATTAGCAACTCTCAGCTTTCAGTCTGACAGCGTGAGACAGAAGCTCACTCAAGCTGTCCTTTTCAAAGGTCAGTAGGAAATCACAATGCGCTTTAGCATGTCTCAGATCTGTTATTTTTATAATCAAAAACATGTATAATCTGTAATAAACAAGTTTTTCATAACTGTCAGTCTGTCATTCATTTACTCTTTAATTTTTGAAGTGTTTATTTAGCCCTTTATTTTAACTCACAATTAACCCAGTTTTCTCTTCTCAAACTTTCATTTTAAGTGGGTTGCAGGCTGAAAGTTGAAATTAACGTAAAATATTATAATAACTTGCCAAAGCAAGTATATATTAGGTTCATATTACTTGCAAATATTAAAGTCAAAGTAAATTAAATATGTTCTGTATATTTTCATTTGTCTTTTTATAAAATATTTTCTCAGTCATTGAGGTTCTAGAGTTTTCTTGTTTTTTGGACTGGGTGTTTTAACTTTAAATTTTGTTTCACGCTTCTGTGTATTTAATTTATTTATTTATTTATTGTTTTAATATTTTCTGTAAATTAAATCAGGTATTTGAGTTTTTATTTATAAGTTTATATGGTAAGTTATAAGGTATCTTAAAACTTATATTTACTAGTTGACCTCAGTTTACAAACTACAGCTAGTTAATCAGAAGCAGATCTTGTTGACATTAAAGCGGTAAGTCTATGGGAAATTGACAGGATAGGGGAAAATGGCTGGAAAGTGGAGTGAAATAAGGGGAGTTTCCTGCCAAAACTGATGTATTTCATAGCCACGTTTCTAATGTTTCTAAAAAATCAAACCGTATGAAAATTGAGAAAGTTAAGAGTTGTTTAAATAGTGCATGCACCACTAAACACCAGCTGTCCGAAGTAAGATGGCCGCCGCATAGGACGTCAGGGTCCATTGACGAACAGCACAGGTGAGGGATGTAGCTAATATATATGATATCTACCCAGATAGCAAAAATTGGTTGAATAAACATTGAAATAATGTTTTGCAGAAACATATTGAAAGTGTCCCCTGCACTTTTTGTTGAATCAACATTGGATTTTCAACCATGCAGACATTGAATCAATGGTGATTCAACCATCATATAATTAGTTGATTCAATGTTTAGAAAAAGTAATTGAATCAATATTGTATCAACCATCATCTAAATGTGAATGTACTTTAAAATTTCAGTTGATTTAATGTTTAAAAAAGTAACTGAATCAATATTTTTTATTTATCTGCCATCCTGCTTGTTTATTTTCCCTCATTTAGATTATTGTATGCACCTGCCTTCCCTCCAGAGCTCAGTCCTCACACCTGTCACCTGTTCCCCTGATCACCTCCCTCTGTGTTTAAAAACCCTGTCTTGTCCTTCAGTGCTTGTTGGTCCATCGTTGTGTCTACGTTGTTCTGTTCCCTCCAGAGTTTTGCCCGAGTCCGTGCTCAGTTGTGAGCTTCTGTTTTGTTTTTGGACCGCTGAATCAAGCCTCCTCCTTTTAATAAAGGGTTTACTTATTTACCTCTGCTCTTGTCTCGTGTGTTCTGCGTTTTTGGGTCCAAACCTCCTGCTCAGCGTGACATTTACACTGCAATAAACGAGTAACCAGTAGGTGGAGTCGACAAAACGAGCAAGACACACTCACCATGGTAACTCCGTCCCTGGTTTAAAGGTCTTTAATACCATCTTCAATACTGCTGCTGTCTTTTTCTGTCGTGAACTCAAAATTAACCAGTTACTGATGCCATGTTTGTTTTGGTTGTACCCACAAACCTGGCTCTGTCAGGCCTGAGTAGTCTAGTGCACCCCCTAGTGGAACACTTCCCTAGTGTAGGGCAGTACTGTGCAGCAGCAAGAATGTGAACAAAGACGCTGCCTGCGCCAACACGAGGTCAAGGAATATCACGACCCTAAAACCAGAGTGAACATCTGCACGGCCTACACTTGTTTGAGGGGGCTGAAGGGGGCTATGAAATCACGCTAGTGACCTGGACTTGTAAGTAATATTTTTGAGGATCTTTTTACTTTGTGACTTGAATATCAGTTGGTTTGTGTTAGCATTAGCTCATTGTTAGCACCAGCAACAGCCAGCTGCTTCAGGGTTGTTTATGATAGTTTTAACCAGTAGGAGGGAGAAGCATGAAAATTCATAAGTCTTACTTAAAATTGAAGATGAATGTACTCATTTTAACTACAAAAACACAATGTTTGGTTTCTTTGAATTAGCTTGTTTTGATGCCATAAGCTAAAGCCTAGTTTATGCTTCTGCGTCGGTACGGAAGCATGCAACACCATTACCCATCCATGCGAGTGCTCTCCAGCAGGCTAGCAAGGATGTACGGAGTCCAGCCCACTTTTCTAAACAGAACGCAAGCTTGTGATTGGTCAGGACACCGCTTTCGTCAACAGCACTTCCATTGTGCCCTCCAAAACGTTAAAGCTTGAAGAATAGCTCATGGAAAAACTAAGAATATGAATGTTTTATTCACTCCTGACTGGAGGAGTAAAACGATACATAACAAGCTTTTTTTTGGATGGAAATTATGAGAAACGTGGGTTTAGAGGTGGCGAACGCATGAAGAGCTGGAGGAGAATGAGAGACAAATTTGTCTATGTTAAAAAGTATCTGAAATACAAAAAAACACAATATAAACACAATAGTAAATGCACTGTCATGGACCGGAAACATGACAGGATACCCCAGAACAGCTCTACACCCTCCGTTGTCCTGGCGGAGAATTGCTTTGCAACAATTCCCAGAAGACGGAGAAGTCCGAGAGCGAAACGTCCGTCAGTGCGAAATGCATCTCTTCCTTGTGGAGCTGGCCCAGAAGCATAAGCTAAACATTTGTTCAACGTTTTCCAAAGAATGATGTGAGGTAAAGTTTTCATCTCAGTCTTCCCTTTTCTTTCATCATACAGGTGCTGGCCAGTAAATTAGAATATCATCAAAAGGTTGAAAATATTTCAGTAATTCCATTCAAAACGTGAAACTTGTACATTATATTCATGCAATGCACACAGACCAATGTATTTCCGATGTTTATTATGTTTAATTTTGATATTTATAGGTGACAACCAATGAAAACATCAAATCTGGTATCTCAGAAAATTAGAATATCCTAAAGGCCAATGAAAAAATGTTTGTTTCTCTAATGTTGGCCAACTGAAAAGAATGAACATGAAAAGAATGTGCATGTATAGCACTCAATACTTAGTCGGGGCTCCTTTTGCCTCAATAACTGCAGTAATGCGGCGTGGCATGGACTCGATCAGTCTGTGGCACTGCTCAGGTGTTATGAGAGCCCAGGTTGCTCTGATAGTCGTCTTCAGCTCCTCTGCATTGTTGGGTCTAGCGTATTGCATCCTCCGCTTCACAATACCCCATAGATTTTCTATGGGGTTAAGGTCAGGCGAGTTTGCTGGCCAATCAAGGACAGGGATACCATGGTCCTTGAACCAGGTGCTGGTGGTTTTGGCACTGTGTGCAGGTGCCAAGTCCTGTTGAAAGGTGAAGTCTGCATCCCCATAAAGTTGGTCAGCAGCAGGAAGCATGAAGTGCTCTAAAACTTCCTGGTAGACGGCTGCTTTGACCCTGGACCTCAGGAAACAGAGTGGGCCAACACCGGCAGATGACATGGCACCCCACACCATCACTGACGGTGGAAACTTTACACTGGACCTCATGCAACGTGGATTCTGTGCTTCTCCGCTCTTCCTCCAGACTCTGGGTCCTTGATTTCCAAAGGAAATGCAGAACTTGCTTTCATCAGAAAACATAACTTTGGACCACTCAGCATCAGTCCAGTCCTTTTTGTCCTTGGCCCAGGCGAGACGCTTCTTGCGCTGTTTCATGTTCAAGAGTGGCTTGACACACGGAATGCGACACCTGAATCCCATGTCTTTCATGAGTCTCCTCGTGGTGGTTCTTGAAGCGCTGACTCCAGCTGCAGTCCACTCTTTGTGGATCTCCCCCACATTTTTGAATGGGTTTGTCGTCACAATTCTCTGCAGGGTGCGGTTATCCCTAGAGCTTGTACACTTTTTTCTACCACATTTTTTCCGTCCCTTCGCCTGTCTGTTAATGTGCTTGGACACAGAGCTCTGCGAACAGCCAGCTTCTTTAGCAATCACCTTTTGTGTCTTGCCCTCCTTGTGCAAGGTGTCAATGATTGTCTTTTGGACAGCTGTTAAGTCAGAAGTCTTCCCCATGATTGTGGTGCCTTCAAAACAAGACTGAGGGACCTTTTAAAGGCCTTTGCAGGTGTTTTGAGTAAATCAGCTGATTAGAGTGGCAGCAGGTGTCTTCTATATTCAGCCTTTTCAGAATATTCTAATTTTTTGAGATACCAAATTTGGAGTTTTCATTAGTTGTCACTTATGAATATCAAATTTAAATGTAATGAACATTGGAAATACATTGGTCTGTGTGCATTGCATGAATATAATGTACAAGTTTCACGTTTTGAATGGAATTACTGAAATATTTTCAACCTTTTGATGATATTCTAATTTACTGGCCAGCACCTGTATAAGCGCTTCAGTGCATCGATCTTACGTGGATGAAAGTAGAAATTAAACTCAGAGAATTATGTCTATCCTTTAGCCAGTTTGCAAACGTGTCCCCTAGAGCCCAGACAACTGACACCATGTGAACTTTCCTTTACGTGACAGGCATCACAGCGAAATCTGTTGAAGCAGTGCAGCACGACGTTGATGCGTTGACTCATCTATGTAGTGCTGATAGCTTCAGGGTTACAGCTTTGTTTCCTCTGCCTAACGGACAATAACGGTAGACACGGGGAGCACAGAAAACACAGATGAGTCACAGAAGTTAAAGAGTTGGGGAGAAGATAAGTGACCTGATTCTTCTCCTTTTTTTTTTTTTTTGATAGTCTGGGAAATTCTGCAGCTTCTTTGCACAGTTCTGCTCAATCAGTACATCTTAGATGTGAGATTCTCTTTATGAAGGTGATGCAACAGTCAGCAGGTAGAAACAGTGTTTATTGACCCAACAGTGATAGGAAACAGATGTAATACAGAGGTATAAAAATCCAACAACACACAACAGTGTCACATAAATAAAACCCAGGAATTTAAACGTAAAGACACTAGTCAGAAATTGCACATCAGTCACTCCTTTTTGGAATGACAAGTTTTTATTTTTTTCTATGTAGGTTTTCCAATCATCTTTTTCTCTTGTCTGATTCTTTAAGAAGCAGATATGACACAAAACACACAATTGGCTCAAAATAGACACAAGTGAGACTTAACTAAACAGCTGGTGTCATTTTTTAAAATGTGTTTAGCTGAACAAAATCAAGGAGCATCAATGCATTTTGAACATTTTCTGTATTTTATTATTCCTGCAGTGGAATAATTTCTTTAAATAATCCTTACACCAGAATAAAAACAAGAATCTTACACATAAAGTGATATTTTCCAGGCATCAGGTTGCCAGTGCTGCTCATTCACAACAAGCTCATGACTGAAACTACTATAAGGTGTCTGCAGTGACGCAAAGCAGCGAATGTATACGGCAACTAAATGACACAAACAGGAAGCAGAGCCAAACTTGAATGGAGGGCTCAGCTTCTAAATCTCACAAACATTGCAAATGAAAAATATCTTTGCCCATAATAAAAAATACAAACAGACCAGATAGATGCACCCAGGCACTCTCGCACATTTAAACGCACAAACGGTGAATCTTTGCACCTTCCTGATGGCTGTTACATGAGAGCCCCGTCAGACTGTAGCACTACTGATATAAATGTGCAACCACTTCTTTATCATGATTGTGTTGCATCTGCTTTTTTATGTTTTTTCACAGTTTTTGTCTTTCTTTTTTTCAAAATAATTTATCTCAATATGAAATATACATATTTTATTATTTAAAACCATATAAATCCCTCTAGCTGAGTCAAGACTCATGATTTGTGAATTTATTTTTTTATTTTTTGCTTTTCCCTTTATTTCCAAAAATGAAAACTTTGAGCCAACAGTGATGTAAAAAATTTCAATAAGTCAAACTTTGATAATTAGAAAATGATCATTAATCAGCTTTAAAATGTTCAAAATATATGGCCTCAACTTATATATTCACTTCGTATAAAGCGTCACTTTTTTTTATCAATGGTTTTCCCAAAAAATAATTTAAAGAGACAATGAGTCGTTTTTTCCGTTAATCTCCAGAAACCTTTATCAAAATTTTGTTGAAAAAGAATTAAATGATGTCTGGTTGTTAAAAATAATTGGCGGCTTCATAACATCTAACCATAGAAACTGGGTGTAAAATACATGGGAGTGGGTCTAAGGGTGCTTCTCAATGTCAAGGAACCTCGCCTTGATGTCTTGGTTCCACCCCAGTTGCCTAGGAGATACTTCATCAGGAACCGCCAAGGCGTGTTCCATTGTTCATATGCTGTGGTGGCATCTGTCCTCCATTTGTTAGCCATTTAGCTAGCTGACCAAGGATCTTGTTGCCTTCTCTCGGTCAAAGATTTCCCAGAATACAGCACAGTATTTTCAAAAGGAGCTGGCAGCAGCTACCTTGGGGGAAAATTGCCAGTTTAAATGTAAGTCAACTAATGGGCCATTCCCATCTGTACCGGGTCGGCCCGGGCCGGGTAGCCCCGGTCGGCCCCAGCCTGGCCCGGTTGATTCCACACATCCATATGGGCTGATTCTACCCACCAATCAGAGGCTTGCTCTAATGGAAGTTGTGAATTTGCTGTCAGCAGTGGGTGTGTTGGCCCTGGTTGGCCTGAAGCAGACCCCCTCGAGAAGAGGGCTGAGAATGAGCCTTGGTTGGCCCGGAAAAATACCAGGCCACCCAGATATGTAAACAACCTACGCTACCCGGCCCGGGCCGACCCGGTACAGATGGAAATGGCCCATAAATGTAGCTCTCTGGCTGATATCTAAAATGTGTTTTGGATCCAAAGTAGTCAACAATGGTTGTTTAGTAGTTGCAGCTTTGGTGGCTAGCAGGCACTAACTTGCTTACATATTTTATTTAATCAGTATATACACAATTTAAGAAGTAAAAGGCCTGTTATACATTTATATTATAACTCATGAATAAAATATAACTTTACCTCACGTGACCACCAGGGGAGCCGCAGTCACGTGAAGTAAGTCTATGGCATTTAACCATTTTCTTTGACCAAGGAAGGACAGTGTCCTCGTACGTAAGCACCAGGTGCCTTGACAGCGGGAAACACCATGGGTGTTTCTCAATGTCAAGGTGCCTTGCCTTGCGAGGCGATGTCTTGCAAGGCCAGGCTCCTTGCTTACAAGGACACTGTCTTTCCTTGGTCAAAGAAAACAGTTAAACGGAACAGACTTTGCATCACGTGACCGTGGCTTCCACGCCGGTCACGTAACATCACGTGACACGAGAGATATCGTTATATTTTATATGTATTAGTTTCAATATAAATATATAACGAGCCTTTTACGTTTTAAATTGTGGTATATGTTTATTAAATTAAAAATATAAGCGAGTTACTACCCGCTAGCCACCGAAGCTGCAACTACTAAGCAAGTAACCAACTAACCAACAATAGAGAACTTCTTTAGAGGCAAAAAATAACATTTTAAATTAGCTGACTTACCTTTAAACTTGAAAAATTTCCCCAAAGTAGCTGCCGGCTTCTGATCCGCCATCTTTTTGAAAATACCACGGTGTATTGTGGGTAATTTTTGAACTAGGCTACAAGACACATCCTGTGTATCCTTGCTCAGCTAGCTAAACGGCTAACAAACGGAGAACACATGCCTCGGTAGAACATGAACATTGGAACTGATTGGAACACGTCTTGGCGGCTCCTGATGACATATCTCCAAGGCAACCAGGGCTGGGCCAAGACATCAAGGCAAGGCTCCTTGACATTGAGAAACACCCGATGTCTTGCGAGGCCAGGTGCCTTGCTTACGAGGACATTGTCCTTCCTTGGTCAAAGAAAACGGTTAAATGGAACAGACTTGCATCACGTGACCACGGTGGTCTCGTAACGTCAAGTGACATGGGAGATTACATTACATTTATTATAATATGTATATGTATATGTATTAGTTTGAATAGAAATATATAACGAGCCTTTTACTTTTTTAATTGTGTATATGTTTATTAAATAAAAAATATAAGTGAGTTACTACCCGCTAGCCACCAAAGCTGCAACTACTAAGCAACTAACCAACAATAGATAACTTCTTTGGATCTAAAAAAAACATTTTAAATTAGTTGACTTACTTTTAAACTTGAAAATTGTCCCCGAAGTAGCTGCCGGCTTCTGATTCGCCGTACTTTTGAAAATACCGTGGTGTATTCTGGGTAATTTTTGACCAAGGCTAGGCTACAAGACACCTCCCGTGTATCCTCGCTCAGTTAGCTAAACGACTAACAAACTGAGAACACACGCCTAGGTAGAATGTGAACATTGGAACACGTCTTGGTGGCTCCTGATGACGTATCACCATAGGCAACCGGGGCGGGGCCAAGACATCAAAGCAAGGTTCCTTGGCATTGAGAAACACCCCTCAAGTCTCTGAGTGATGCCATATAAGATGCTATGTTTCCTTCTACAGGAGCCTGTGAGAACAAAATGTGTTTACTAGTTTGTAACAAGCAGTTACAAAACTTTCGCCACTCATAAATGTTATTTTACATGTTTACTTCTTTACTCGTTGCCTGTGATGAGAGGGAGTCTTATGTGCTTGTCATTTTCCTGGAGGTTTTGCTCCCAGGGATTTTTGACCCTAATGGCCATCCGTTGGTAAGGTCTTACTCCAACACAGAAGTACAGCTTGCTTGCAGTTATTTAGTACTACCCCCATCACCAGGGAAAATACACATTGTCACTTTAAATGAAGGAAAGCCTTTGCAAAAACGATATCGAAAATACAATGTCAATTCAGATTTTCATGCCAGGTAGTGAGTAAATATTTTATGTTCATGTTTAAATTATATTTTTAAAATTTATAGTTAAAAAAGGCCTGTTACGCCCAATTTACATTAGTTTACTTGGTAAATTTCAGTCACATTGGATTTATTGGCATGAATTCAACCATGTAACATTAAAAAATGTCCTAAATATTTGGTTTTTAAAGCAATAGTTGAGAATTAGAAGGAATCCATGGATGATTTCAGTCATTTCTAGATTGTCATTTAGCATGCTAACTACCCAGCAGCTAAAACACATACGGCACAAAAACACACAAACGTGCAACTTCAAGCTTTTGGCACTTTAAATACTGAGGTAGCAAATATGATCACATTTAACATGACTTATGTCACTTCCTGTTAAAGGTTTAGCTGTTTGAATGAAAAAAAAAGTCCTGCATGTCTTTGTGCAAAGTTTCTGCACACATTTCGTTCAGTTGGCACCAAATACAGCCAAGGGAGGAACTTTTGAGGATGCGGTTGTGCCCGGCTCCGAGCTTTAGAGTCCTTCACTCAGCACCAGTGCCAGCGCCGGTGCTGGTCTCCTGAATATCTAATAAAACTAGTCTTTGCTGTCCTTGGTGACAGACAGCTGAGACACAGTTTTCTTGACTCGCAGAGCTGTGAGTCGTGCAGAAGAGTTGGCATACCAGCACTCCCTCATCAGCTTTCCCATCACACGCAGAGCCTAGTGCAAGAACAAGACGACACTTTTATTTCTGAGCTCCAAATCTGACTTCTTCAAACAATAAAGAAGGTGTTGACTTCAATATTAGGAACATCAAAAGCTCAGATTATGTGCAATTTTGGTAACCAATTTTTACTTTTAAGTTAGGGCAACGGTGGTAGAGGAGTTGAACACCCGCCCCTGTAACTGGAGGGTTGCAGGTTCGAGCCCTGAGTCTGTTGCAGTCGTTGTGTCCTTTGGCAAGACACTTAACCATCCTTGCCTGTTTGTGTTGGTCAGAAGGACTGGTGGCACTAGTATTTGGCAGCTTCACTTCCGTCAGTGCACCCCAGAGCAGCTTACAGTGTCCTTCATCCCCACCAGCATGTGAATGCATATGTTATGTTGTAAAGCACCTTGGGGGGTTGTACTAGAAGCCACTTAATAAATACAGGTACAGGCCATTTACCATTTTTAGGGGATTTTTCAGAAAGATGTCTTGGTTTTTCAGGAACGACAGGAAAGTTTTCCAAAAAAAAAATGAAGCCCTATTTTTTTAACCCTCCCACTGTCCTAATAGGTGTGACCCCACGAGGAAAGTTGACCATTGAGCAGGGTTTATGGTTTATCCCTTGGGTCCATGTGGCAGGGGTGAGGAGTGAGCACCACCTCACCCCTGCCATGTGGACCTCAAGGGATAAACCATCAATCCTGCTCAATGGTCAAATTTCCTCGCGGGGGTTATACCCATAAAGACAGTGGGAGGGTTATAGGTGGATTAGAAAGGCAAGGCAGCTTTATTTATACAGCACATTTATACACACAGGCAAGTCAAAGAGTTTTTTAACTGTTTAATGAGCATCTGTAAAGTATGTGAAACGTTGCAGCTCACAACGGTCCAGGAGCCCTGACAGGCAGCCAAACGCAACCCAATGATAAAGCCCTTGGACATTAGCAGTAGATCAGGCTAGCACTAGCAGTAGCTTGCGCTAGCATTGTTCTGCTGTTAGCATTACAGTGACCAACGATTAGGTATACATCACTAATGCTAAAGTGGGTTGGGACATTCTAATGTAAGGGGTGTGTCTAAGCTTATGATGTGTTAAACCAGCTTTTATCAGAACGAACCGTTTCTCAGTGGCCATTACAACATTACTAATTAGCATAAGAAAGTATAAAACAACTTTGCTACGTTCGTTCTGTGTTAATTTTTTCATTCCATTTTTTATCGGTTCTTTTTACACGGAGAAGTAGAGCTTGTTTTTACCTCCTAACTGACTGTTTCTGCTACTGCGTCAGAGCTCGCCATCCTCTCCTGCCCGCAGATAAACAGAGCTGAAAGTGACACAACCGACATCGTTCTGACGAAGGTGACAGCAGTAGCCAAAATATGTCAGTAAGTTTTAACAAAGCTCTTCTTCTCTGTGTAGATAAGAACAGACAAAAAAAAAAAACAGAATCATGAAACAAAACTTTTGTTTTGCTATGTCTGACATGCCTCACTGCCTATACAGTAATCAACAACAGCAAGGTAAATGCTGTTTTGAATTCAAGGACCACAAACTATTTTTTGGTGAATGCAATTTCGTGCATTCTTGCAGAATGCATGATTTCATCCGTGACAACCTTGGTGGGTTATTTCTTTAGTGTTTTAGTTGCTGTTTTCTTCCTGTTTGGTTGTTCTGTTTGTGTTTCTCTGTTTGCAGGGACTTTCTTAGCATTTGATGCACTTGCTGTGTTGCTGCCCTATAAAGACACCACCCATGCTTCTGTTTAGTTATTCACATTATTTAGTTTCTTAGTTAAAATAAAGATGTTCTATTAAATCCCTACTTTTCTGTTTGATCTCTATCTGCTTGTTGCAACCCCGTCCTAGACTCGGGTTGTAACACATCTACAGCCTGTGGTTCTCTTTAAGCTGTGCTGTACTTTATTTTGTGGGGCTAATTTTAGACCGTGGCACAAACTGTTGTCACGTTTAGTGTTTTACTGAGGCAGTCACAAACACTCCAAAAAAAGACATTTCCTCAATGGTGGCATATGTGTCTCCAACACAGAGACCCAAATATGTACTCATCTGGTTAAAGAGCAGCTCTCCAACCATCCGCCTATCCATCTGAGGTTAGCATTACTCAGAAGGTGCCAGAGTTGATGTATGGCCTGCTTCATAAAATACAGCTTATACATTTTTGTGTGCCGTGGGAGACTGAGATGAGTAGTATTTTCAAGGTACTTCTGAGTCCATGTGGCTTACTATAAAGTCTCCAAAAGGAGAAACATACAACAGCTTGGTTGTTGAGATTTTCCCAGATTCTCTTGGTCTTTCCTGTCTAACAAACATGAATCGTGTTCAATAAAATTTTTCTACATTAACTGATTTAGATATTTTGGCAAAAATGGAGCTTTTGGCCTTTTTGCACCACCGTCGTTGAAAACGAGTTTGGTCTCACCTCAAAGCTCTGCCACTGGTTGGGAATGTTGGGTCTGAATTTCTGATCACACACCACCTTCTTCATGTCCTCTATGGACGGATCTGAAGGCACCATGTCATAATAAGGCTGCTGAAAGTCTTCATGAAGTCCTGGGAGAATGACAGATTGCCGTTACCAGCTCCATGTGGAAGGGGCAAGCTGACATTCTGTCATTTTTTTTCTGTTAAGTCATAAACCAGTTTATATTTGTTTAAATTACCTCTCACCGAGCATCTTCTGGCTAGTTCCCAGAACACCAAGCCCAGGGAATAGATGTCCGCCCTCTTGAATGACTCAAAGTTGTTGGTATTGATTGACTCATCCAGGATCTCTGGAGCCATGTACCTGCAGAGGACAAAGTGATTAGAGCCTAATGACATGAAAGGCTCCAGTACAGCAAAGGTTAGTCACCAATAAATAAATAAATAAATACTTTGTGTAGCCAAAATTTAAAATATACAAAAGGGAACTTGTGCCTCATTTATTTAAACTCCTGGATGGGACTCATAAATTAGATTTCTTTTATTTTTTTCCTGACTTGCTGTCAACGTAAAGCAGAAAGCCCTAATGCTCACAGGGAAAGGAGGTACAGCGGGTTGTCCAGTAATCAAACGGCTGCGGGTTCGATCCCGGCTCCAACTAGTGAATGTTACTGTTGTGCGCTTGAGCAAGACACTTAACCCACATTGCCTGCTGGAGGTGGTCGAAGGGACCGGCGGTAACAGTGTATGGCAGGCCTCGCCTCTGTCAGTGCGCTCCAGGGCAGCTGTAGCTACATCGTAGCTCATCATCACCCGCGTGTGAATATGTGAATGACTGACTGTGCTGTGAAGTGCCTTGGGGGGGTTGTAGAACCCTAAGAAGGCACTATAAACATAAAGGCCGTTTGTACCACTGTCTGCTCTTTAACACCAAAAAACTGACTTCACGTCTTTTTTCAGTGCTGCTCGTCACACACATCCTGCTGATATCACAACACTTTCTGTTCCTCTTACTGCAATTTCAGATCTCTGTTTGGTGGGTGCTCTAACCTCTTGGTTCCCACTCTGTGGTTGGACGGGATGTCGATGGTGTTCGAGCAGGAATCATGTTTAACTGCCAAACCCAGATCTGCAATAACCGCCGTCCCGTTCCTCTTCACCAGGACGTTTTTAGACTTCAGGTCTCTGTGAGCGATTGCAGGCTTTCCTAAAGATGCAAGGCAGTAAAAGTTTATATCTATCTCTTTAATAATCCTATTGCTGCTGGGTTTATTATTTGCATTTGAAGAGAAAAGAACAGCTTTACCCTGTGTACCAATGATTTCCATGTGGAGATGTGCCAACCCACTGGCTATAGATAAAGCCAGAATGACCATGCCCTCTACTGAGACTGTGTACCTGTTCAGGTAATCATACAGAGAGCCATGCTCGTGGTACTCTGAAACCAACCACAGTTGAGTCCAGGAGCCGTTATCTGCAGAACAACTCAAATGTTGCAGTTATGCAATATTTCATCCATCTCATGTGTGCATACTGGATTTTTTAATTCGTCACCTTTGTTATCAGCAGCTATGAAGCCCAGGATGTTCTCATGCCTCAGCATAATGGTCTGATAAATCTCTGCTTCTCGGAACCACGACCTCTCGTCCCTGGAGGAGAAGATCTTTACAGCCACGTCCTCTCCTCGCCACTTCCCCCTCCACACTTCACCAAATCGACCTTTTCCAATAGTCTCCTGCAGGACGATGGTCCGTGCAATAGTTCTCTGGACCAGCAGCGGAAGCCCTGAGAGATGAAGAAGTTTTTTTTTTAACATTAAAGGAGAATCAAAAATTTTCATTAGCAAACTAACTTTCTCACCTGATCCTGAACCAGAGGTGCTCATGTCGTAGATCAGATCTTTGAGGGATTTGTCAGGAGACATCTGCATCTGATCGTCCAGAGGCTCCTCGGGGTCTTGCTTGCGGGTTCGGCCGTAGGCACAGTGGTGTCCCTGCACGAGGCACACGCCCAGCAGGATCCCGACGCACAGCAGGCAGGAGGGCACCAGGATCACAACGGTGAGCTGCAGCCGGCTCCAGCCCAGCTCCTCCAAAGGCCTCTCTAATGAAACACAAACATTTGTCATTAATAGCCACAAGAAAGCTTTCCATGAAATGGATTCTTCTCTGCTCCTGTAGCTACTCCTCCCCCTTGTGGATTTTTTTTACATGACAGCAGTTTGAGGCAAAATCAACTCAATAATAAATTATGATCAGCATGAAGATGTGGCTAAAAGTTTCACTTCAACTTTTTTTTTGAAGGACTAAACTACAAAATCACACTAATGCATGAAGGAAATGTTCCACAAACGTTTGAATTTTCATTGGTGTCATTTTATTTGGCTGATGCAACTTTCAGTCTGCCAAATCTCTGTTTTTTTTTCTTTTCGTCTGAGTGCAACGAAAATTTATCAATGCCTACAAATCTGATTAATCAAAAGTAATAAAGAGGCTTTTAGCAGCTATAAACTTTGCTGGTTAAAAAATTTTTCTTTCTTTTTTCAATTAAAAAGCTTCTTTATTTATAAGAGGTGACACTCATGCATCACAAGCAGGTGAGCTGATGGACTTTTTAGCGCATTTGTGGGTTTGGATAAACAAAATGACTTCTTTCTCTGACCACCACTTTGTCTGTGGGAGGAAGCCCGGACACAATCAGGTTGGTGCTGTGATAACATGAGATTCACTATATAATATCACTACATTGTTGCTTTTAAGTGTTAGTGCGACTTTGCTTAAGCCAACAAACAATAAAAGCAGTTTGACTTTATTAAATCAAAATAAAAACTAAAAGCTTTCCCGTTTTTAGGCTTTGAGCTCAGCTCGGGTCCCTTGTCATTTCTTCATCAGATCCTTAAACATTCAGCATCTGAAGATTGTTCAGTGTGCAAGGCAACAAACTGTGAACTCAACCACAATTTCCTAAGACATCTTTAGCCTTTTACCTAAATCCACACACAGCCAACTAGAGCTGCAAGTGAGGCTCAGCAGATATGGTGCAAAGCAAGCCTTTCCTCTGGCCCAGTGGCTCCAGACCTTCTCAAACTGTGTGGGTCAGAGAGGTGAGCCAAACAGCAGCTTTAAAACTGGATATGTGACGACCATATGAGTGTATGAAGATTAAATGTGTTTCACAGAATCTGTAGAGAAACACACCATAAAAACCCCTCTGTCTTTCTGCCTTTATAGCAATCACTACACGGGCACACAGCATGTGCTCACAGGGATTGATTGTGTTGTCCTCATTCAAAGTCAACACCACCGCAGCCTCGGGCTCCGGCACTCATCGACACTTTGCAGCACCTTGCACATAAATCTGCTGTTTTTCCTCTATATGGCGCAAAACTAACAACAGCTCATTTTCCAGATTAGATTTTATTTTAATTCACTTTATTTCACGGTGAAATTTAAAATGCTTTTCTTTAAGAGACAAAAAGCATAAAACCTTACAAACACCTTTCCTAACTACTCAGAAACGTCTTGAAGATCCAGAACAAAAGAGAATGGTTAATGATTGTGCATCAGATCAACACAGATCTTATTTAAAGCCACCGCTATGTGGTTATAAATATTTACACGTGTGTTTTCTCTCTTCCCGCAGCAACAATCTCTGTAGGGTTTCTTTACCATTGGTTTAAAATCTTTAAAGTAACTTTAAAAATGCTTAAATGTGACTATCTGGTCCTGTTCTATGATATAAAGTAGATAATATTTCATAATTTATATTTCCCCTAAGTCGCTCTCCTGGACTTTACAGAAGAATTAATCATTTTTGTGAGCTTTGAGCGTCAACCAATAGATTTACGTGTCCACAACGTAGAAAGAAAACAATCATTTATAAAGCGCCTCTCAAGATAATGTTCACGAGGCGCTTCACAAAAACAAAAAATAAATTAAAGCATAAAAAATATTTCTAAAAATGATTAAAGATATGTTTAAAATTAGAAAAAAAATTAAAACTTGTGTTTAAAAAATGTAAGGAAAGGTAGAGAAAAGGAAAGGGAAATGTTAATCAGTGAGAATGCACCTCAGTCAGCTTACCAATAAAGAAGAAGCCCAAAGTTTGCAATGGAGCAACCAAAACAAGTACAGATGTTAGCAATTCTTCAACTCCCTTTTACCTCTCAAAGAAAAATGTCAACTGTTTAAAAGTCCTTCTGCAAAACTCGCCGTGAGACGTTTACGACAGTCGAGTAGAATTCACATTGGAGACACTTTTAAAAGATGGAGGGAGCTTCGTGATCTACAAGGGCTAAAGACTGGAGTTGGCAAAGTTTACTTGGGACAGGTAAATACTATAATTTATTGTATTGTACGGAATTGTAACCAAATATTTAAATAGAGACACAGATAATTGCTGTCTGCCATTTATCATAGGCTGATAGGGTGCTAGCTTGAATGCTAACTCGACCGGCATTGAATTAATGGCAGTCTGTAAACTTCAGGCTAACTGTGGAAAAGGAGGGAGAGAAATGAAAAGAGATTCATCTTTTGTGTTTTAGAGCTAAGTGATTAGTGTAGCATTGAACCCAACGGGCAAACTCCGTCAGCCAAAAGTGAAGCCAAAGAGAAAATTGCAGTTCCCATCGCATCCACTAGGGGTTGGAAACAGAAAGGAGCAAGTTCCTATTGACTCTCATGTTAAAAATGACAACTTCACAGCAGAAATAAACATGTCTACAGCCTGGTACAAAAAAATACTTGTAAATTAATGGGTCAAGTTTACATTCATGACAACCCAGGGAGGGAGTTGTAACTCATGCATTAAAAGTTGAAATTATGAATAATTAGGGGTTGTGTCCTTTTGATTGACAGGTAGCAAATGAGCCATCTGTGCTAGCATAGCGGCTTGTCTCCTCCTTGCTTCATGGAAGGCCTCAGCCTCACGTTGAAAGTGTTACAGCCTATAAGGCACAGGGTAGCAGAGTCCCTCAACCATGGTTTTCTGGCTAAAAGCACCTGCCAATTTCGGGTAGTTCGTAGCTACATCTTCTGAGTTTAGTGGGTGTAAATCATCTGCCCCCACCCTCACAGCCCTGCTCTCTGAGCAGTTTTTGCCTTTCCCGGGAGTGACGAGATGAGTGATGCAGCCAAGATGGCGGTGGTGGGAACCACACACTTAACCTACGTGTGATGGCGTAGAGGGTTTATCTGTATTTTCTACAGTCAGCCTACGCTACATCCAACTATTGTTTTGGCTTTCTGTTGACTCTGCTTTCCCTGTGTGTGTGTGTGTGTGTGTGTGTGTGTGTGTGTGTGTGTGTGTGTGTGTGTGTGTGTGTGTGTGTGTGTGTGTGTGTGTGTGTGTGTGTGTGTGTGTGTGTGTGTGTGTGTGTGTGTGTGTGTGTGTGTGTGTGTGTGTGTGTGTGTGTGTGTCATGAGCCGTGCTTTAAGCTTCTTCTAGAGGGGGAGGGAGAGCAAGGTCAGGAACTATAGATGAACTCTACAGACCACAGCTTTAATTGTTTTCAGTGAAGGATTTAGGCTCCTTTGAGGTATGCAAAATTTTAACATTCATGCATTAAGTTTTAGAATACAATGTTCAAATGAACATGAGTTGCACCCATCCCTCTCTGCTGTGCTTCAGCTCCTCCACAGTCCATCAGTTCACGTTTATTGAGTTAAAGAAAAACGATAAACAGAAAGCAGAGCAGCTGTCATGGCTGCCGTTCTAACTTACAGATTTTCAACCCCTTAAACAATCAGCCTTTCACTTTGATGCTGCAAAGAAAGGCTTTGTTTCTAATCAGAGCGGAGGATTAGATGACATATACCACTCGTAAAGGCTCATCTGAGGCAATACACAACTAGATGATCATCATCTAACCTCACGGTTCCGTTAGGAACCCTGTGGAGATTCACTTTTATCATAAACAGCAGCAACAGCTGACAGGAAGCTCACCTCCACCTTAGACAGCTAGCAGCCCGGTAATGAACTCATTGGAGCTTCAGGAGTTATACTGATTTAGTAGGTGCTAAAAGGGGAACCTAATGCATGGATGTCTAACTGGAAATAAACACTAATCAGTTTTACAGTGCCTCAGTATGTCAAATATGGTCACCAACTAATCAGTTTGAAATCTTTTATGAAACATCCAGTACAAAGTCGTGAACGTGTGAATTTTCCGCTGAGCTCCAGAGGTGTGAACCCCCCCATGACTCGCTTCTGTTTCAGTGGTTCCGCCCAGCAGGCCGACCACACGCCTTCTGGACAACAAGCTACACAAAGTATTTATTTATAAATCAGGGGAGGGGCCGTCTCATAACCTCTGCCAGCTTTGTTATGTCACAGGATCTAGGCGGATCAGCGTCCACCTAGTCTGGTCGAGACCAGAATGAGTGGGAAATCCATCTCAGATGGGATTGCTGCTTCTGTTGACTGCATAACACTGAAAACGGCAGAGTAGTGTGAGATTAACAGAGTGTCTGAGGAGATGAATCAATTTCGGTTAGGTTTAATACCCTTTTAGTGTCTTTCCCCTTCATGTTAACGGCCAAATTTTAATCTTTATTGCTGTAAATAAACCTAGATTTGTAGAATGAATAAAGAAAGAAAAGAAAAGCAGGTCTGACTGATTTCTGAAGCGTCTCGCTGAGTGTACCCGGATGCAGGTGAAGAGTCTCGTTGTTGCAGAAGTCAGTGAAGCAGCAGCTTCTCTTGGAGACATTCCTGGAGCTGTAGCAGAAAACTTGGCCCTTCATCTCTGAGGGCGAAAGGCATGATTTGACGGTCTCCTCCTTCCCGTCAATCAGCATCACGGAGTTCCAGCAGGCTCCTTCTGCGGCCGTGTCACAGGTGTGGTTGGCGCACAGCGGGCACACACACCTGAGACCTGAAAGACACAACTCCAGATACTCAGATAGGGCTTCATTTTATCCACCTGTTCACTTATGACCTGTGCACAAAAGCAGACAGTTTTGACCCAGTCAGTGGTCTCAAGCTGTGTGGGAATAGGGTGCTCCTGTTACATAAGAAGGAACGTGCTCTGGCATGGAAGGAGGTGGAGAAACCAGAGTAATGCCTCTTAGTTTAACACCCACATAATCTTGTGTCCTAATTTGAGCTGTCATGCTTTATCTGATAAGCTTTTGGATGATTGATAAGTAAGATGGCAACAACGGCTCTTGAGAAAAACCTGAAACAAGTCTGCAAAAGGTGTAGTTCATTAAATAAATCAGATCAATTCAATAAAATAAGAAATTAAAGAAAAGTCTCCCTTTGTATCATTTCAGTGATAAATTATACATATGTTATTAATGTTTACTCAAATGTTATGAATAAATAAGATTTTCAGATTTGCCTTGTGAGTCTTAAAGGGTTAAAAAAACAATTGTTTTATCAGTACATTTGCAGCGATCTCTTGTAGGAATGAATGAATGCCGAGGAAAGAAGCCCAGAAGCACCTGGATCAGCACCGATGAAAGTCTGCTGCAGCAGAGTGGCAGCAGATGGCAGCATTTGGAGTCTTATTTCTAGAGGCCGACGATATATGGGCCCGATATATTCACCTTTTTCTATATCGGTCATCGGCCAAATTTATTTTTAAAAGCTGATTAAAAAAACAAATAAAAATCAGGCACCTGTGTGGCCAACTGCCACCACTACTAGACTGAAGAAAGGACTCGAAGAACCCCAACACAGTTTTTTTTAATGTTTTGAGTTTGTTTTATATTTTAAGTTCAATAAATATTAAGAAATTTATTGACTTATTTAATTTATATTGCACACGGTGAGTCTTTAGATATCGCCCATTGGCAACTAAATTATTTAAAGATCAGTATCGACATCAGCCTTAAAAATACCATATCGGTCTGCCTCTACTTATGTCCTGATTTTTTTTACATCTTACCTCAGATAGGATAAGGGCAACGCGACTCCACCACTAACTCTGTTTGCTCTGCAACTTGGATGTTTTATCACCACAAATAGTGAGGTTGAGTTGCTAATGCTAACGGTTAGCTTCTGCTAGCCAACGCGCTGAATGCTGTTTCCTGGATGCTAAAACAACAACATCCTTCCCCAAACCCTTTACATAGAGCAGTGAGGATTTTCAAATCCTAGCGTCTATTTCCTTTCAGAAGCTAATGCAGGAGACAGGTGTAGGAGAGTATTTTCATGTTCAGCCTGCATGAAAAACTCAGAGGGACTGAGTATAATCAGCAATACTCATTAAAAATGTTTTTTTTTTCAGTGTGACACACTTTTAAAGACTTGTAGTTTATTATATGGTGTATTTATTGAAGATTTCATAAAACTAATTTAAAATGTAAAGTATAACTTTTCATTCAATGGTTCCCAATTTTTTTAAATGTAGTTTATTATTATTATTTAAATAAATCATGGTTTAACAGGAAATAGGGAATAAAATATCTTCAAGTCAGATGATTTGAAGGTCACAGGGTTAGATATAAGTGACATTTTCTGATTTTAATCAGGTTTAACAACTTTTGTATCCTGACATGGCAAAAGAATGAAAAAAAAACAACAATAAAAATATTTGTGCAACCCTGTGATTGTAGCTAATGAGATCCCAGTCTTAACAGATTAAGATTCTGCCTTGGTTACATTTATTATTTATGAAGAACTGATTGTTCAAACCTCATTGTTCATCCTCCCTCATATCCTAAGAGTCAGCCCTGTTAGAGAAACTTATTAAGGTGAAAACAAATGAAAGCGTTTTCTCACTTCTATTTAAAAAACGGCGACAATCGAATCGAAAAGACCAAAAAAATAAAAATAAAAAGCCTTGGAAATAAACTGCTTTCAGCATTGAGGGTAAAGGCAAACCAAAATTAGTGTCTGACAGTAGAAACCCTTCAGGAAGACTCAGTCTGAAGTGTTTAAATGCTGCTCTATTATGCAACCACACCTCCACAAATATAACTTTCATGGAAAACTGTTTCTGTGTCCTCTCCACAAAATTTGTAGATGCAAGACATCTATGCATAAAAATAGCTATGTTGCAACAAAACCACACATCTCCAAATACCAAAAGCAAATATCCTAGTGCCAATTTCATTTTAAAAAGGAAAGAGGATGGATTCCGTAGTGAAATAATGATCCAAACCACAACACATTTAACTAATTATTACCTACAGAAGCGTGTAAAATAAAGCTGCATTATGTAACATTTCTGTTAAGTGTCAACTTTACTCATAATTTTAATACATTTGCAGTGGTCTGATGCTCCTGCTTGAGGACAAAGAAGTCAGCTGTAGGAGAAAGTAGCAGACGACGGCCGGATCTGGAGTCTTCTTTCCTTATATTTGGCCTCTGATTGGCTAACGGCAATGGGACTCAACCACTGACTGTTTGCTTTACAATGATGATGTTTTTATCTCCACAAATAACACAAGTCTGAAGCAATTCTGCTGTGAGGTGGAGTTACTAATGCTAACGGTTAGCTTCTACTAGCTGGAACGTTCTCTGTGGTTTCCTGGTCGCTGAACCACCAACAGCAAGTAAACAATGGTTTCTAACATGAATCTGGTCTTCAAGAATCCAGTTTTTAAATCTATATCTAGTTTTTTCCTCTCCAGACCGATTGAATCTATGACTTTTTGCCACCGTTGCATGTAGAGGTAGTAATTACATTTATTTTGAGGAGGTTATGGCCGGTGCTAACTTGTAAGAGTGTGTCCTGTGTCGTATTTTTTAGTTTTTGGTACTTTGTTGTTCTCGTGATTTTTATGTTGAAAGGCGCTACGTAAAAAATTGTTTCTTCTTTACTTCATATGTGCGTTACAAGGAACTGTTTTCTTTCAGTTAGCCACGACATGAGCTAAGCTAGTGGCTGCAAACAAACATTTGAAGATGAATCCTGCAGGAATTCATACCTGGTTCTCTACATCCATCCCCTGACAGTTCTGGCCGAGGTCAGGCGCTCAGAAGCGGTGCTAAAAGGTGATAATTTCAGCCTGGACCTCTGCATTTGTGAGGCTGGTTCTGCCCAGAGTCGTGCAACACAGGAACTGCTGCTCATCATGCCTGGTACTGAGCTCCAGGACTTTGACATTTTTTGAGAACCAGGGCGGGAAATGGGGAAAACTCCGACTCCGGCAATTCGATTTTGGCTCACTATCCCCGGGATGACTTTTCATGATCACCTGCCAAATTTCCCTGGTCGTACAATGTTTTCTCATTCTTTGTAGCCCACAACTATCATTGTTACTTGAGTTTAAGGCAATTGTAAATAATAAGCAAATAATAATAAATATGTTTGAAAGTCATGGGAGTGTGCATTTTGCACACTGCAGTTCCTCTAACCACCACAAGATGCATCCTCTGCAGCTTTAATATTTATTCAAGTGCAGTAAATTAGTTTCTCAATGCACACTTAACCCTATATGACCAGTGGCTGGGTGCTGCAGCCATTACCAGATATTGTGAGAAAGGTGATTATCTCCACAAAGAACTGGTAACCAGTCCATCGCAGAAGCACAAACACAGACCATGAATGTGAGAGAAACCCTGAGCAGAAAAGGAGTTTTCAAAAGCACTAAAATGGAGCTTCAAAAACCTGAAGGATTTAAATTGGAGCTCAAATTATGAAACTATTTCTGCATTAAGACAGAACTGCAGCACCGTCCTGCAAAAGTTTTAAAAAGAAAAAAAATGGAAAATTACATATTGCTTTTTTCATCTTGGGCTTTTTAAAGGCACCTGAGAAACTATATATATATATATATATATATATATATATATATATATATATATATATATATATATATATATATATATATATATATATACTGTATGTGTGTGTGTGTGTGTGTGTGTGTGTGTGTGTGTGTGTGTGTGTGTGTGTGTGTGTGTGTGTGTGTGTGTGTGAGTTGCTTAGTAACCACCTTCTGAAGGATAATAGTATTTTTTTTACTGAGAAATAAAAGGACTTTTAGGTATTTCTTGAATTCCAGTTTGTTTGTTGTTGTTTCATAATTTCTTCTCTGATCTGGAGCTTCAGCAGACAGATAATAATCTGTCACCAGGGTTGTTTTTACTTCTTCAGACTCCTTTTATAGCAGATCTGCTTGTATTTTTGAAAAGTCAAACACATATCATAAAAATATAAGTTTGTGTGAAAAATCCAGCTTCTATCACTGGATTTAACCAGTTTTGGATTCTCAATGAGAATAATATGACATTCTAATGTATTTTAAGTGGGGGTGTAATTAAAACTGAGCAATAACCAAAGAGTGGACTGTGGCTTTCAGCTCTGATTCTAACCATGCTGCTGTTACAGGCTCATGCGTTTATATTTTGTCTCACAATTGACAGCAATGCTGATCAAATTTGAAATCTGTTTGGTTCTCATTAAGGGTTGTATCAACTAATCGACTAGTCACTGTCACATGATAATGACCGACAAGATGCAGTCCTCAGAAAGGACAGCAGGTGATGAGCCCCAGCGCATCACCGACGCGCTGTGCCAGAGCGTCGGTACTGACACCCGTGGTAAAACGGGACATTTAACCAAATTGTGACGTTTACCCTCTTGCAATTTAACCTTCCCCTCACCCCCATCCTAACCCTAACCAGCTTGCGCATGCAAAGCTTTGATTGTTGACGCGATCCAGACATCTGCGTCCTGAGCACGGCCACAGTAACGTTATCAAATTAGGTGTTGCCACCACAAAAACAAATTTAACACGCGATCGTTCATGTCGGCTCATTTCCTTTTATGTTTTCTGTCTTTTATTTGTGCTTGATGCGTGGAGCGGAGCGCATCACCTGTTTTGTCCTCTGGTGATTTCTACTCACCGGTGCGACCGGAGCGCACTCCTCTGTTTTAGCGGTCGGTAGATCTTTTAGAACTGCAGTTCAAAGGTAACTCATGAGGTGAACATATATGAACCCAGGTAGCAGTTTTTCTTTAGGATTGAGAGGAGATGCAGGAAGATAATAAACAGACAGGACAGAAAAATAGTCAAATAAAAACAATTTAGTTTTTGTACCTGCTGGTTGCAACAAACAGACACCATTGAAGGTAATCAGAAGTGAGGAACAGAAAATGAAATAATTATTTTAATGTTTAGAGCAGCAGGAACTCTGAGAGGCTGCACTCTTTGAACTTAGAAAATGTGGGCGCAATAATAAATTTAATAGTCAAAAACTCCAGCGACCCCCACCCCCCCACCCCCCACGCGCGTCGGAAAAAACACTTGGTCACCCATCGTCAGTTTTAGCCGCTTCAGGTGTATGACATCATCAACGGCTAGTCAAAGTCGACTAGATTTTCATTACTTGACTGTCGACTTTAATAAAAATTAAGTCATGCAGTCCCTAGTTCTGGTTAACAAATCAGCATGAAAAGCCACTAAAGTGAAAAAATATATATTTATTTTATTCACAGTAAGATGATTCAGTTCTAAAATGACTGCTTTTGCAGGTTTTGGTCATTGAAGTTGCATTCTAAACAAGACGCAAACAATAAAAGCACATCCTTGATGATTCTTTATATTTTAAATGGGACCTTTTTGTTATTTGCATGCATGTTTTTCAAAAATGCTTCAGAACAATATGCAGCTTTATTGAAATTTGAAGATAATCTTATTCATTTCCAGAGAGTTCTTACGTTTTTGACGTTCAAAGCTGCAACCCTTAGTAAGTCTTTTTATTTATATCCACGTTTGTGACAAGAAAAGAGAGATGATTCATTCCTGAAGCAGAGAGATCCTTAAGTGCTTCAGTAGAACAACCTAATAAAGGGTTATGAATTTTAACTAAAGTTAAAAACCTTTCTCGAGCTAATTTCTTTCTGCATCTTTTGTTGCTGAAATACGTTAAACTTTAAAGCCTGTTATATAATTAGTTAAGAAGCAAGTTCAGTTCAGAGTGATGCTAAAGTGCCGGCCACACAAATAAATGAGTGAATGACCATCAACCACTCTGTCATTTAGTTTGATGACATCATGACAAACTTCAGAACCAATGAGATGCCAGAAAAACCAACATCTGTTCATTAATGAGCTAACGATCAGTTGATTGTTTTTTAGGAAGGAAAGCTGCAACTAAACACGTCTTTTATCATCACAGTTTAGTTCATTTGAGAAAACAGTCAATGTTTTATATTAAGAGTGGTTTCAGAGAATGATCAGCACAATATGATCTGATGAAATGAATAAATAAGTTTCAGATTGACTCCAAGGTGGAGTCTGGGGGTCATCTGGGGCCCTTGGAGCAATTACTGGAGCTCCCGACTGGATTTCTGCAATGATGAGTTTTATCTCTCCAGTAGACAGTTGACACTTTCTAACATCTTTATATTCAGATTTTTTTTACTTTGCTGTCTATTGTGGAGCAATAGAGCAATACCAAAAGAATATCATAAAATAATGTTTGCATTTTTTAATTTTAGAAAATCACATTTTTCTCACCTGCAAGGGACTTTAAAAGAGACTATTTTGAAAGTTCTGGACACCCCTGCACTGAGCAGGATGACTTCATTAACAGAAACCAAGGAAAGGTTTGTAGAAAATAGTCATAGTATTCTGCTGCATATGAACCAAAACTCACCATAATTTACTAAATATGGCTGTGCTGTGACTGAGGAAGCAGAGTAAGATCAGTCTGGAGTTTTACTTTTGTTTGGTTTGGTTTTTTTTTTCACTATGTTTTCCTCCTCCTCTTTGTTGTCAAGCTATTTGGATCAAAACAAGTACATAACACGGGGAAGAAAAATCATTTTATGCCAAAGTTAAAGTCAAAGAGAAGGAATGTTTTAAATAAAATTATTCAAATCAGTTTGATGTTTTTTATCATCGTTCCTTGAGGCTAATTCTGGGATAAAAAAAAAACATTTGGGATTTTGCAAAACAAAACAAAATTTTTTTTAAGTAAACAAGGAGTGTGTGGACCTGCACAGGACATAAAAGTTGGAAACACGCGGACAGACAGGCAGACAGGCAGACAGACAGACAGACAGCATACCTGCGGTAAGCTGGGCGACGCACAGGAACACCAAGGCCACCTGAAGGCTCTCCTTCCTGGGATCAGTCATGGCAGGGGCCGCATCTGCTCCTCCTCCGGGCGCTCCGCTTCACACACCGAACACTGACGCACACATGTCGGCCAGCAGCCCCTCCGTGTGTCTCGCGGCCGGTGAACGGGGGAGGAAACCGCAGCTTGCTCCGCCTCCCTCCCGGTGACCGACCGGGATTTAGGAGGATTAACGGCGCAGACCTCAGATGCAGACATGTGAATGAAGTGTTGGACAGCACGAGAAACGCCCCCTTTCGCTGTCTAGATCAGAATAGTCCGTTTTATTATAAGGAAGTCCGTCACTCAATGTACTCTCCATGATAGAGGATTTTTTGTAAAATAGGGACTAAAATTTATTCTCACCACATATTGCAATTACTCTGTACATCTGATCACGTGCCTATGACAGATCTTTATTTTGCATCGTGTAAAATCTGAATAAACACAAGTAAGGTTTTTTAAATTAAATTTAAAAAGCAGAGGAAACATATGTTGTAGTATTTTGCTGTTTTCGCTCTGCTTCTTGTTTTTGTTTTCTTTGTTCACTCTGGGGTTTTTTTTCGCCCTCGGATGTTTTGTGGTTTTTACTTTTGTCCTCTTGTGCAGTATCGTGACATGTTGTGCTCTCTTTAAGGTTATGGTTGTATTTATGTCCATTGTTTTCTCTTTTGTTTTACACTCTCATTTTTTTCACTGGTGGCATTTTGATTCTCTGGCTTTCTTTTTCGAGTTTGTTTTGCCGAGTTGTCTGAAGCACGATTCACATTTTTGTTCTTGGGAACTCTGTATTCATTTGTTCCAGACAGCAGTCCATTCTTGCAGGGGTGGTTCTAGAGGGGGCCCTGTGCTGCCCTGCATGGCAGAACACCTTTCTGGGTCCAGCCCCTAGTGGATGAGAGGGGAACTGCATTTGTCACTTCTGCATTGGCTTCACTTTCAGCAGGCGGAGTTGTCCCCTGGAGTGTCTGACAATTAAGATAATCAAATAAAAATTTTTACAAATTTGTTTTGAAATGTATTAAAAAGCTATTGCATCCATAACATCTGTAACCACAATGCTGGTATTATATTATAAATACTTAAAGGCAATTTTTGTAATGTTTCCCTCCAAAGGTTCCTCTCCAACAGAGAAACTGCCCCCCCCCCCCCCCCTTCCCCACCTCAACCTCCCCTGCACCCTTGCACCAGTCCATGTTGCAATTTTCCTCCTGGGATGTGAGGATAACACTCGGAACAGCAGGCAGGAAGACACTTTCCTTTGGGAACGCTGGACTGCACACCTCCGCCTCACCTAATCTGGTTTTGCTTCCTTTACCCTGACTCCATGGCAACAATAGCTGCCATTTTTACCATGCTGAATTGTTACATAATCATATTTAATCTGCAGCTAGGCACCTTTAGAGTTTGCATAAACTTATAAAACATGCTATTTGCTATTATTTTGCAGGCCTGGACGTTACACATTTAAGTTTCTGTTTACCCAATTTATATCCAACATATTATTTCGTGGCAATATTTGCCTGAAAAGCACCAATTACCTAGAATATTTCAATAATGCCCACATTTCTTGCACTGAATTAATCACAGCTTTGTAGGAAAATTACTTGTTTACCTCGTGAAACCTTCAGAATCCACTTCTGCATCTCAAAGAAACGAGGTTGATCTTTAAAAACAGAAGTCAAACAGTCTGAGCGCAGGACGGATCAAATGATGATGAATATGAAGACAGTCTGTGCAGGAAGCCTAGCAGCCGTCGGGACACAAGCTGGTGCCATCCAAATTCAGGTGGACTCTCAAACTACTTGGTTTTACTGGTGCAGCTTCCGCTTTCAAAATAAAAGTCTATATTGTTGACCATTTACAAATAAGTAAATATCTGAATTATTTGATTATATGTGCAGTTTTTATGGTACTCAAAAGAGAGTTTAGCGTGTAAAACTGAAACAGTTTTAGGTGAAGTTGGTGGAAAGTCAGTGTGATCGCCAGGTGAATAGAATACCGTAAACATTTCGCTCAAATACAAATACGATCAAAAGTAAAGGGTTTTGGAGGCTGGTGCTGATGAGAATGTCAAGTTTTACACAAGATTGTAACTTTCTTAAAATTTTTTTATAAATAAATGGCTCTTTTTGAGCTGCTGAGGATAAAGCTAATATGATGGTTATGTTCCTCGTCTCAAGGTCATCAATTAAAAAAATGGATTTGTTTTATAATAAACACCATTTTCCATCAGCACACGAGGCTGAAACAACTTTACTAAACACAAACAAACAGATGACTGTTTGATCTTTTCTATTTAATGAATAGAAGTGGCTGATATAAAACTTTAATGCAATAAAAAGCTCGACTTCATTGGCTCGACGCATTAAGACTGTATACAGGCTCATAAGAGTTCAGCATCAACTAGCAGACAGTTTATTGGATATTTTTTGTGTTTGTGCCAGTAAAACTGAAGAGTTCAGGGTGATATGTGAAGTTTTACAACCGAGTGCCTTTAGTTGGACTAAAGAACAGCAAAACAAAGTGCCACCGGCATATTTGTACTATTTAATGTTATATTTCAGGTGAAGTCTTAATAAAGTTGCTTGTGCAGCGACACAAACGAGGAATTTGCTGCCGTCGCTGTTGAAAGAAGACATGAAACCGGCCTGGTTTTCTAAACAATACCAAGAAATTGCAAATGAAATGAAGCACGATTAAAGAGAAAAGTGGAACTTTTACGTTCAGACGTCTTTTTGAGCTGAAAAATGTGTCAAACTAAATGTGCACGACTAACAAAAACAAGCACTTAAATGCCCAGGTAACAGTCCAGCTCCTATGTCTCAACGGATTCTCCCTTTTTTTTGTTTTTTTAAACTACAGGGCAGTTCCAGAAATGCCCAATAAGCCATCTTTGGATGCCAAAATGTGTCCCATCAAGTGTTTCAAAATAAATATAGGCCGTGTACCACTATAAGGGCACTAAACCAGTCTTTCTTGTGTTTTCTCCTTGCTGGTCCATCCTCTGGATGTCTTCAGACGCCGACTCCTGTCGAGCAAAGCTCACATGTCCGTTTTGAGTTTATCCAGGGAGTTGTCGATCTTTGTGAGAGTCTTTTTGATGCGCAGCGCCGTTAGTCTGGCTGATGGATTCTGGTACCAACACTCCTTCATGAGTTTAGCCAAGGAGGTTAAAGTCTACGAAAAAGAAATACACCAAGTAAATTCCACTTTATCCACGTCTGTGATTAATATTTTGATTTGTTTTACTCACTGCATCTGAAAACCATCTGTTTGGGATGTTGGGCCTCTGCTGATCCACACACACAACCTTCTTCATGTCCTCAAAGCTGGGATCATTTGGAACGACGTCATGAAACGGTGGCTTGTAGTCTTCTACGATGCCTGAACGGAGAGAGAACGAGTGAAGTGAGTTCTACAAATGCGGTCCAACTTTAATTGATGTTACGTGTTCATGCATCAGGGACTAATAACAACCCTAAGAGCTGCTAAAAGCATCTTCATTTCATTAAACTCATTTTGAATGAACGTTTGGTGCTTCTGGAGAAAAAAATTCCATTGTAGTTCTCCTGCTCATCAGAATCAGCTCCTCTTCTGCATCACTGGAAACGGGTTTAGTCTAAAGAGGCAATTTTTCATAGTAAGACCCTTTTATTTTGAAGGGTACTTCTAACTACATTTACTTGGTCTATTTTCGCTCTTGCTTTATAGAAGGTTCTTTGTTAGCTCAGCAAGGACTCTTGAATGATGCAAGGGACGTGATTGGTCCTTACATTAAGGTGCATTGATTGGTCGAGCAGATTAGATACTATTTTTAAAACTTTTCTCACTATGCTAAAACTTGAAATCATCTTCCTTAATCTATTGTGTCCCATTAAAAGTGGCGCGTGCGTCCCTTCCCACTAGGAGCGTTTCAGGTGCGAAGCGGCCGCAAAATCATCATCATCATCATCATGAAATCATAGAATTGCAAGACCACGCATGATTCTTTTTGCAGGTAATGTGAGGAGAAAGGCAGCAATAAGAGGTGTGGATTCGAGTCACATGATTTGGACTCGAGTCAGACTCAAGTCATTATTTTAATGACTTCTGACTTGACTTGATAAAATCTATAAAGACTTACGACTTGACTCGGACTTGAACGCCAGTGACTTGCGACTTGAACCTGTTGACTTGATGATGACTTGAACATATTTGATATTTTAGAACAAAAGTGGCACGACATGGACAAAAATCATAAATCATTCTTGGTTCTGGGTTTGATGTGCTGCTAAATGCAGCAGCACTTTGTTTATCATCAGCTTCAGTTGCAATTTCTGCTTGTTTGAGTAAATAAATGAAGCTTTAAGAAGCTTTTATTTCTGGAATTTATTTATCATCATTGTCACTAAATTGAAGTTAGACTGTTGACTTGATTATGACTTGAAAATTCAAAGTTAAGGACTTGGACTTCCACATCATTGACTTTGGACTCAACTTGGACTTGATTGTCTGAGGCCTAGTCCACACGTAGCCGGGGTTTTTTAAAAACGAATATCCGCCCCTCCAAAAACTTGCATCCACACAACCGCGTTTAAAAAAAAAACTCTGTCCACACGTACCCAGATAAATACGTTGTTAAGGACATGCCAGACCTGTAGGCGGCAGTACTTCCCCCGTTCTTAACCACGTCCTTCGTCTGTGGTCTTCCGCAAGGAGCAGTAATTCCGCTTGCAACAACAAACAAGCAAAAAGCGCTTGGACAATTGATAAAGCGAGCGCAGCTCTGAGGGCATCCATGCTGTCGGCTAGTGTAAACACAGGTCGCACACGTGATGTCAGCATTTTTTTGTCGCGGAAAGTGACGTTGCGGACCTTAAAACTGCGGTTTTGTCTGTCCACACGCAGACACCCAAAACGGAGAAAACACAGATCTTCACTTTGGCCGGAGTTTTTAAAAAGATCAGTTTTCGTGTGGATGACAGGCCAAAACGTAGAAAAATATCTACGTTTTGGCAGATCCCCGGCTACGTGTGGACAGGGCCTTAGACTTGGACTTGACTCGAGACTTGACTGGAAAGACTTGTGACTTACTTGTGACTTGCAAAGCAGTGACTTGGTCACACCTCTGGCAGCAATTATACAAAAAATCTGGTTTCTTTTCATTTTACCTCGGCTACGGAGGTTTAACAGGCAACTGGAAACTGTGTGTGTCTTTTATTTTGAAAGTTTCCAGATGTTTTACACAGCTTTCGTATCCAACTTCCTGTCTGGCCATATCTGAACAGCTGAGCTTGAAGCGTTCTGGAAGAGTCGCGCGTATAAAATGAACTCGAAGCATCAATTTAATGGAGCGGTGCATATGCTAATGAGACGCTTGCCGGCCAACGGCGACGCGCTCTGCAGCGTACTACCCTTTACAGACTTAAAGCTATATTTATGCATCCAGTTGAGTAGCCTGGACATTTAAATGTGCTTCATACAACACTCTAGCTCTGTTTTTTCTCAAGAACGTAACCATTTTTTCTAAATGAAGCCAGAGACACTCATCTCAAACCACGGTTAAAGTTTTTTACAATCACTTACAGTGCTGGGGCAACGCCCCCTACTGCAGGTGAGCGGTGTTGAGTCAAACCAAACAAAAACAGTTTACAACTGTTTGGTTTTAAATGAGAGAGTGGGTGAGAAAAAGAGAGACCCGCGTACTGACCGTTGCTGACTGTCCTCCTGGCGATTTCCCACAGAACGAGGCCCAGAGCCCAGATGTCCACCCTCTTGAAGGACTCGAAGCAGTCCATCTGGATGGAGTCATCAAGAACCTCGGGGGCCATGTAGCGCTTTGTGCCAACTTTAGGGTTGTTGCCCACATCCAACTCATTGGTGTCTTGGAAATGCATGACTGCCAGACCTAAAACAATAAATAATCACCCCTTCGGTTCATTTCCTGCTTACCAATCTGATGCGGTTTGTTGTAAGAGATTTCTAACAGTTCATGAGGAAAGCAGAGATGATCTGCATACAGCAGCCCAGCGGAGATGTCCTCTCTATGGTAACAAGATGGCAAGTTGCACTGTCTTAAATTGCTGCATGGAAGAGGACACGCTAGACTCAATCAACTGATTTAAACGCTAACGCGCTACTTGGTTAGCGCTAACAGCCCTGTTCTGATATACAGGATGTCCTCCAGCGTAACAACACGCTGACGAGACAAACAACCGCGGCACAGCGTCAGCCAGAGAAGAATTTATCCACCCAACTGGTAAACAGGTGAAGTTGTTGCTTTCAAACCCAATTAGATGTTATTCAAGCATCTCCAAAATGGAACATTGGTGCATTAGATGAAGTGGCTCAAGGTCTTGCAGATGTGTTTTTAGTTAAGAGCTGGGTCATCCGTTTAGTGGTGGTTGTTTTTCTCTGATCAGACGAGGACAAAGAGACAAAGAGAGTGATATGACTGCAGATAGATTTCTAATAAGCCTTGAAATTCAGCTGACCTCTTCATTAACCTTAAAGTTGGAAACACTGAGGTGTACCAGCTTTTCAATGAATTTATTGAAGCTGCGGTTGCTTTAGATCAACATTTAAACCCTCGACGTCGATCCATTGATTCAAAGATAAAGCTGTAGCCACCTTCCTGGCCGATTTATTCATTTTCTTTTAATTCATTCTAGCATTATTTCTTTGTGGGTTAAACACAGAATTCTCACCGAGATCGGCGATGCAGCACTGCCCGTTCTTCTTCACCAGTATGTTTTTGCTTTTGAGGTCTCGGTGGGCGATGGCCGGCTTGCCCTGGGTGCCAAAGATCTCCACGTGCAGATGCGCCAGGCCGCTGGCTATGGACAGCGCCATTCGAAGGCAGCAGGAAGCGTCGAGGGTGCTGAGCTGAAGATAATCGTACAGGGAGCCCATTTCATGGAAGTGAGTAATGAGCCACAGCTGAGTACTCGAGTTCCTGGAGGTCATGTCTGAAGCAATGAAGCCTGCGCCGTGAAAACGTGTTTAAATTAGCGTCAAATTCCAAACGACTCCAAATTCCATCCTCGGAATCAAATCGTGCTCCGTGTTTATTCTCGACATTACATACCCAAAATGTTCTCATGTCTCAGCAGAACTGTGTTGTAGATTTCAGTTTCTCTGAACCAAGACTTCTCATCTCTGGAGGAGAAGATCTTAACGGCGACATTCTCTCCCTGCCACTGGCCCCGCCACACTTCGCCGTAACGACCCTTACCTGGGTGGAAGAAAGAGGAGAGGAACTAGGGTCAACATTGATTTATTAAAGGTGTTGAACAATTGTTTAATCAATGCACTTGCAGTGGTCTCTGGTAGGAATGAATGCCTTACAAGTCGTACTCAGGGGGGCAAAAAAAGCTCTGAAGTACCTGGATCAGCACAGGTAAGTCTGCTGCAGCAGAGGGTGGCCGCAAAAATCAGGACTTGGACACTTCCTGATATTTGGGCACCTCGCCTCTGATTGGATAACAGCAATGTGACTCTACCACCAACTCCGTTTGCTCTTTGACAAGTCTGGAGGAGCTTCTGTCATGTGGTTGAGTTGTTAATGCTAATAGTTAGCTTCTGCTAGCCAAGGTGTTGAATGCCGTTTCCTGGACGCTACAACAACAATCGCCTTCCCCGCTGCGAGCAAAGATGGGTGAGTCCAAGCAACCGCTTGACATAGGTCTGTCAGGCTATTTTCTATCAGAAGCTAATGCAGGAGATAGGTGTAGGAGACTATTTTCATGTTCAGCCTACATGAAAAACCAGAAATAATCATTAGAAAATGTGTTTTAGTGTTCAATGCCCTTACTTAAAATTTTAAACAATTTATTTTGATTTTGTAGGAAGTTTCACTACAAAAAAAAAATAAAAAAACATTTTAAATTCTAATAAACCTGACAATATCTGCTGTGTTCAAAGCAAACCATTTGAACAGTTTCAAATGTTTCATGCTGCCCCCTAGTGGCCTAAAATCATTAATGTACATTTCAAAGCACCTAAGATAATAAAGCAGTTGTAGGAAAAACTGGTACCTGAGAGCTGCTATCCAGCACGTTTTAGAGGTTTCCCTGCTTCAACACACCAGATTTCAATCAGCAGGTGATGAACCGGCTTCGGCAGAGCCTGATGAGCTGCTGAACAGGTGTGTTCAACTGTGTTGAACCAGGGAAACCTTGAAAACGTGCTGAATAGCTTCTCTCCAGGTCCAGGGTTCCCTACACCTGTAATAAGAGGGTGATGAGTTTTATTTGAGCGATCAGATACCAGAATGCCATTAAGGCTTTATGACATCAATAAATTACTCTTATCTAAATATAAATAAAGCAGAAAAGAACAAAAGGACACAATATAAAAGCACATTTTCCATTTGATTGTCTGTCTGTCTGTCTGACAAATTCTGAAGCTCGATCTGAAGCCAAGAACATTCTTTATTGTTGGAATTAACCACATTTGTTACCACAAGCTTCTGCGTCAGCACATTCCAGGAGAGTGATGAGGAGGCAGTTTTTTTTTCTTTTCTTTTCTTTGGAGAATTGTGACCGAGCAAACAGCCTTTATTAGGACACGTACCCACACACTCGTTGAGCGTGATTTGTCGAGCAACTGTTCTCTGCACAAGAAAAGGGAGTCCTGAGCCACTTCCTGAGGTGCAGGAATGATCCAACAAATCCTGGAAGAGAAAGAAAAAATAACATCAAGGGTAAAGAGACTGTACGTTTCCATGTAACCCTGCAAGAAAGCTATTGGGGGGGGGGGGGGGGGACACACCCAAAAGGACTGAGAATGATGAAACAGAGCATCTGGGACTCAGATGAGGATTAACACAAGCAAGTCTTTGAAGTGGCACCCACACGAGACGGAGGGTGGCAAGATGTGTGTGCCTCTCGATAATGTATTGGTGTGGGTGGTTGTCTGTGCAGGAGGTGCCCCCCCCCCCCCAGTGAGTAAACAACAGAGCAGCCGCCTCCTCCCTAGTGACTGGTGTGGGTGCTAGAGATTTGATCTAATCCGAGGGCCAGACTCCAAAACAGGCGCAATGCTGCTAAGCCTTTTATTTTTATCTCCCCTACGAGACGTGCAGTGTCCCAGAGCTGACACAGGGGGGCAGTGCACAGCTGCCAGGCAGCAGGCTGCTGGGCTAAGAAAGAAAAAAGCAAAAAGACTGAAACAGGAGGGGAAAACAGATTAAAAACAGAGACAAGTGATGCCTCAGATAACCAGATGCATAATGCAGGAGTTGCCTGAGAGACAATTTGGAATCATAACACAAGAAGGCAAGACTGGGGCTGTAAAATAAACGGCAAGGAGCTCTACAGAGAGCCTAAAACCTTCTCTCCATCAGAAGGAAGCCGTCTTTCTAAAGATCGCCTCTCAGCTGCCGAGCACTTATTTTATAACTCACAAAAACCGTGTCTCCATATTTGGGTCTTCCTGCCAATTGGAATGAAAAAGTTTGGAAATTCACGGATCGTGTCTATGTCAGCCTTCCTGATGGAAACACACACACACACACACACACACACACACACACACACACAATTATATAAGAAAAAATGAAATTTCCTAGACACACTGAGAAAAACGTCCATTCAGACGTGTGTGTGTGTGTGTGTGCGTGCGTGTGTGTGCGTGCGTGCGCGCCAGTGAATGTGCCGGGTTGTCTTTAGACGAAATGCTAACCACAGGACTCCACCTAAACTCTGGATCAGTTTAGCAGACCTCAAAAACAGAAACCACTCTGTAGAAAACACACACTCCACGGCTGAGTGGAGAGAAAAATAAATAGAAAAGAAATTCCTGCAGAGGCTGCTGCAAATATATGATATATATGAGTGAAAAGATGCAACAAAAGAAAACCTCACACACACAAATTCATGCAAAAGTTCAGAAAAAAGGTCTTTAGATTGTGATCAGGGGAGCACACAATGTTCCCTGTCGAATCGTGTTAGCAGGACACATTCTGCACCTGGTGACTGGACCTGCCTGCACCTAGATCACAAAACCACATGAGGACATCAAAAAAAGCCATGGTGTAGCCGTTGGTAGCTTCAAAATAAAAGAACAGTTCATGAAAAACAATAATTACCGAGTTAAGACTGTTTGTTGTGCCTTTGTCTGTTTTGTGTTCAAAAAGAAGGCAAAAGTCCCGACGAATCCGACATCCTGCACTGAAACCTTAAAGTTCATAAACACATAATAATGAAGAGGATTTGTGACTTTCTCACTGCTGTAACCATTTGCACTTCTAATGCAACCTGCCACCCAAATTCAAAAAGGCAGGATTAGACCCTTTTACAGTAAAATTAGGACATTCTTGCATTAGAAACCCAGAAACTAACTCGGGCTTTCCACTGATGTAACGTAACAGATGTGTTTTCCCTGCCAGCACGTTAGCAGCACGTCCCCTTCCACTGGGAGCGATTCAGACACAAATCAGCAGTGAAATCGTTCCACACAGGTCACAAAATCGCCACAAGATTGGCAAGATGACATGATTTTGGCAGTTCAAGCGATAACAAGCAAAGTTAAAGATGGCTGCATGTATCCAAAAAGGTCTGTGGTTTAGTTCCTGTTCTTTTTACCTCAGCCACGGAGGTTTCATAGGAAATGATGTATGTTTTTTATTACATCTACTTTTGTCTTATTTTGAAAGTCATCAGATGCTTCAATCCTGATCCTGGAATGTCGTTATCCAGCATGTTTTAGCTCCACTACATCTAATCGATTGGTTGATTCGCCTGCTTACAAAGTTATCAAGGGCCCAATCCCAATACTCGCACCTCCACTCTTGCGCCCTTCAATTGCGCGATCCCGACCGGGGTGCGAGTGCGTAGGGCGTCCCGATTCTCGAACGTGGATTTGACCACGCCCCTTTTGCACCCTTGATTCGCACTTCACCCAAGTCCGCAGTGATGTGGACTTGGGTGAGGGGTGTTACCCACAATCCATTGCTGTGGGAGAAAAGGTTCAAGTGCCTTTTCTGAAAATATGTATTTTCTAATGAAAGTTGTTCATTTTAAGACGATTAGTTGATGCTCTGAAACTTTTAGACAAAGCAGCAATGAATGTAAATGTATTTCAAATAATTGTTTGGTTGTTTGTTTGAAAGTTGTTAATAAAGTTTTTTTTAAGTATCACAACGACCAGCATCCTGGCACACGTTGCAGTCGATGATGCAATGCTCCTCGTCTCAATTCTGCAATTATTTGTGCACTCGAAGCCTCACAGTGCACTTTGCTGAAGACTGCAGGGCGCAGTGTGAGTATTTGGATTGGGTCAAGCTCTGCAGAAGCCCGTTAATCACCTATTTAAATCAGGTGTGTTGGAACGAGGAAAAAAACTAAAAGATGCTGGACGGCATCACTCCAGGCCCAGGATTGCCTACTCCTGCTTTACAATGTTCTCGTGTTTAACTTCCTGTCTGGTCCAATCTGAACGGCTGAGTTTGACACTTTCTGGAAGCGTGGCACAAAAATTTAGCAGAGCGACGAGACATTACCCTTCTGGCATACACTCAAGAGACACAATGCTTCGCAGCGCTTGTAAATTCACCCATTAAATAAAACGCTGTCTGTCACATTTTATGCTTTGCAGACGTTTAGCGACGCTCACCCACACGGCTTCTGGCGTTACAGCTCACTCAAGTTAGCTTGACAGCTAAAGTTTAATGACCTGAAGATAACAGGGTTAAGGATTTTTTTTCTCTTATTGATTTGATAGTTTTGATCATTTTTGTGGAAAATGTAAAGCCCTCCTCTCCCGGTTCCTTTTCACAGACACTCCCAGGGTTTGGCTCAGTCACTTTCCAGAACTCACCGCCAGAGTGCTCTCCCCCACGTTAGACGCTATGAGTCCGTCAATTGTTCCATATTCTGCATCTCGCGATGTTAGCCTTTCCATCTGGTTAAGCCGAACGCGTCTAAGCACCAGGATAGCCAAGACGGAGAGGATGATGACAAGAATGATGATGGGCGCCACGATGGCGGTGGCCAGCGTGGTCGCACTGTAGCTGTATGGGTCATTAGCTGGAAAAGTAAAGAAAATATTAACAGTGACACTTTTAAACTGCAATGATTAAACACATGTCCTAATTTAGTTTAGAACCAAATCCATGAGGAAAACCTTCGCTATGCTGCTTGAGATTGGTAAAATTACAAATTTTAAGCTAAATCAAACACAAACCACTCATTTGCAGCACTCAGAACATCTGAAAAGGTGTGTTAGGTGTGTAGCACACGTAAACAACAGCGTGCGCTCATGTGCACATGCACAAAGGGGATTTCATCAAGTCGAAAGAGGCCAGCACGAGGAACTGACCACCGTTCAGACGTTCCAAACGCTGCAGTGTCGAGTCTGCTCTGCCTGCAGAACCAACCATGTTCCCACTTCTCTCAAACTCGCATTAAGAATTCCTTCTTCCTGATAGCTGGATGTTTTAGGTGCTGGCTAGACCTGTTGGGGAGCGGGGGGTGCATTTAGCCTGGATTTTTTTTAAACATGCTCTAAAAAATAATCATTCCTTCTGCACTAACTTTATTTCACAGAGTTTGCCCCAAATCTCTGAGGTGTAATTAACGTTACACGAAGAGTTACAGCTGAAGTGACTACAGGTAAGAACAATAGCTCTGTGTGTAGCTGCTGATCGTTCACCTTCTGGGCGGTCATCACCCAGCTCCGGAGAGGTCAGAGGAAGAGGCAGACCATGACTAATAAATCATTTTCTAAACCGAGCCAGCTGCCCCCTCCTCATCTGTGTTACGAGCTGCCAGGAGTGTGGCTAAACTGAGCTGTGACTCAAGCCCAGAGAACAATATCAGGAATAGCTAGCTGTAAGAGATCATTTAACTATTGGTAAAAAGTTTTAAAAGATTTACTGAGATAAATTAATACAATAAAAAGTAAATATCAAGATTAGACACACAAATTAAGGCGATTACATTGTATGAGCTTGATTCAAAAGCTTTATAAACACCTAAATGTGGTGGTTCAGAAGCTTTGGCTTTTTTTATTTTTCCATTTCAATGTAAAATGACTAAAATAGTCAAAAAGGAACAAAACATTGCTTTAAACTAAATAAACGAAGCTAACAGCTGGTCAGAGAAGCTGCTAAGACAAATAGAGAAAGTTAATTTTTTCATTTTTGGACAAATCCTGGTTTCTTAATATAACCAGAGAAGCACCATGGAAACTGTTACAGTGGAGCTTAACTATATCTGAATTTTATGAAGTCATAACGTAAATCCTCTAATATTGGCCTGTATTCAATTAACGGCCGGGTATCACATTTTGGCCGGTGTCGGAGTCGGCGGAGGTGAATAATGGCCGGTTTTTTATTGTGGCCGGGTGGAATGTGGTAACAAGCAAGTACAGGGGGGGCGGTTGTGTCATCCGTCTCACTTTTGATTTGCCAGTGATAGACCGCGAGGGTAACTTTAACCGTGCGGAGACGAAGAGGAGGCGAAAATTTGATATCAAGTTCAAAGAGAACGTGCTGATTATGCTGCAGAACAATCTGGGGAGCAGTAGGGGTTGTATGAACTAGTCACTAGTCGACTTTACTGCTCTGTAGTGACTTTTTATGCCTGTCATCGACTAGTCGCTGTCACGTGATAATGACCGGCAAGATGCAGTCCACGGAAAAGACAGCAGCCTGCTGTCAGCAGGTGACAAGCTCCTACGCGTCGGGAGGCAACGCGCTGTCCCAGAGCGTCGGTACTGACACCCGCCGTAAAACGGACATTTAACCAAATTGTGACGTTTACCCTCTTGCAATTATACCTTCCCCTCACCCCCATCCTAACCTTAACCAGCTTGCGCATGCAAAGCTCGGATTGTTGACGCGCTCCAGACATCTGCGTCCTGAGCACGGCCACAGTAACATTATCAAATCAGGTGTCGCCACCTCAAAAACTTATTTAACACGAGATCGTTCATGTCGGCTCATTTCCTTTCATGTTTTCTGTCTTTTATTCTTTTATTTGTGCCTGATGCGTTTCGCTGCTGTGGAACGGGGTGCATCACCTTGTCCTCCAGTGACACACCTCACCGATGCTGCCGGCGAGCAGCGCGCACTCCGCTGTTTTTGCGGTCGGTAGATCTTTTACTACTGCAGTTCAAAGGTAATTCATGAGGTGAATATATATGAAGCCAGGTAGCAGTTTTTCTTTAGGATTGAGAGGAGATGCAGGAAGATAATAAACAGACAGGACAGAAAAATAGTCAAATAAAAACAAGTTAGTTTTTGTACCATTGAAGGTAATCAGTAGGGCTGTAGCGAAGCCTCGACGACGTCGACGGCTCGATTCTAAAAATTTGTCGACGTCAGATCCGGAAGTCGACGCACCGCGCCCACTTGTTGCATCCCCAGGAGTTTGTAAATAGAGGAGGAATCTGCCTGTTTTTCCTCTAGTTCGCCCTCTTCTCCGCCTTCACTAACATCTCCGCCAAATACCGAAGACCCGGAACAATGTCCGTCCACTACTAGGTTCCTTTGTTTGATGTAGAAAATCACCGGGAGCGTTTCTACCTTCATAAAGGAGCTTCTTTCAGACATTGGGAGAGCTGTTTTGGTGGTAGCAGTCTCTCCTCCATGCTGGTCTGTTTGCTGCTGGGTGTTTTTGGTTTATTTAAACTTGGTAACTTGAACTTAACGTTGGTAAAGCTACTGTTAGCATATTCGCTAACAGCTTCTTGCGTTGGGATAAGCTGTTACGTTTTGGTTTAGAGTTCATCTTTTTTGTGGTGCAGATCTCCCTTTTATTACATTTAGAGTGTTGTGGGTTTTCGGTTTAGTGTAAAATATCACCTTGAGTTTGGTTTAACCCGTAACACCACTCGCCTCACGCACATAAGTGACCAAAACAAAGCAGCATGGAGACACTCCGTCTCCAACCACCTCTCAGGCAGCAGCCTGCACTCCCAAGTTCTACACGTCACCAGAACATAAACAACCGCAACACAATAAAAGCAGTGTTATACAAAATGGAAGGCCTGTAGTGTTTATTCTCTTACAGTAAGAATTTATCAATTTTTTGAGGAATTTATTTGAGATTTTCTGGTTTTTGTTAATTGTGCAATAGAAAAATAATCATTAGATTAATTTTCTAAATAGTCATTAGAATAGTCGACTATTCGATAAAATAATCGTCAGAATAATCGTTTTAAAAATAATCGTTTACCCCCAGCCCTAGTAATCAGAAGTGAGGAACAGAAAATTAAATAATTATTTTAATGTTTAGAGCAGCAGGAACTCCGAGAGGCTGCAGGCGCATCAGTGAGTTTGCAGCCGCTGCGCAGGGGGAGGTGGGAGAGGGCTGAAGCAGAAACTACCGTTGTTTAAAAAATGTGTTTAACTTTGAAAATGTGGGCGCAATTTTAATTGTCAAAAACTCCAGCGAACCAACCAAACTCAAATAGAAATTGAGGCCATCCTCCAATTCTGGCCCTCCTTCCAGTAAAGGCCTGGAGCTTGATGAGCTTGAGTAAAATACAGGTCCGGGCCTGTATTAGAGGATTTACGGTATGTGCCAAAAGTAAGACCGGATCAAATAATTGCACGCTGCTGTAAAGCACAGCGGTGGCAGCGGCATGATTTGGGGTTTGTTCTCTTGCCTGGGCACTGAATTTACTTAGAGGTTCTAGAATTCAAACCCACATTTATTTTATTGTTGTTGAAAAAAAGGCAGCTGGAGGGTCAAATATACCAAACTACAAGGCCTGTACACTCTCCAACCTGCTTTTCTATGCAAATCAGTGACGTTGAGAAATATTTTGTTCTGAAAACAGCTAGTATAACACGTCATCTGCATAGACAAGTACCCTTATCTGCATGGCTTAGCCCACATCTGCGTCAGCAGTATATAAACGTTGGTGGCGGTAAAGCTAGACACAGAACAACACTAGCTCAAGCTACTGCTAGCATCCTTGTTGGACAACAGGAAAACAAGAAAATGTCGAAGAACACGTGTAATGTTCAGGAAGCAGTCTGGGAACACTCAGACTAAATGAATAGCAGTTACTGACATACAATACATTGTTGTACAATTCCTAGCTTCAGGCAGCCACAGAGAACTACCGAGGTAAACTGACCAATCCGCACACAGCTCATTTATGACGTATGACCTGATCAAGTGGGCGGGGCAAACCAGTCAGATTCCATTGTAGGGCTTTATTATGGGGTTGTGTTTGGCCATTTACAGGGGTCCTGGGCTATTTTGAGCCTCAAAGCTAAATAAAGGTTCAAACAATAGTTTCTAATTGCAAAAAAGGTGTTTTAAAACCATTTAAAACAATTCTTATTTCTTTGTCTTCTGGACAGTATTGTACCTTGGATGGGAAGCTCCACGGTGCTGTTCATGTTGCACAGGTGGCCTTGGCAACACTCGACAATCTGGTCTCTAGAGGGGGGAGTCTTGCACGTCAACGTGCTCTGCTCGTACACCTTAAAGCAGCCTTTCTGAGACACCAGGGCGTCACCGTTGACAGTCAGGGAGGAGAAACACTGATGTCCTCTGCAGCGATTCCCCGTTACACATGACCTGCCCTCACACACGCACTCCTGCTCCTCTTTGGTCAGGGGCTTCATTTCCACCTCTGTACAAATTCAACAGAAAAAAAAACCAGTATGCAAATATTTATGACAGGCTTGAAAAGTTATACAAGTTAGGGAATTAAATTTCATAAAGATAAAGTAAAGTTATGCAACATAATGTTGGTGATGAAGCCAGCACAGATTTGTACGACGCGTACAAAGTCACCTTTCTCTGGGACGTGCACAGTGACGTTCTTGTTACACAGATGGCCCTGGCAGCACTTGACAATGTGAACTGATGAAGGTGGCACGGCGCAGGTGGCTCTGCCCTCCTCATCGTCCCTCAGGCAGCCCTTCTGTTGGACAGCTTTCCCGTCACTCACTTTCAGAGAGGAGAAACACTGCTGGCCCGTGCAGCGATGGTCGGGCTCGCACAATTCTCCCTCGCACACACACTCCTGCTCTCTGAGGACCGGTCTGCCGGCAGACAGTTCGACATCTGAGAAGAAGAAGGAGAAGAAAAAAAAAAAGCCATTAGACCATTACTAAGCCCGTAAATTAAATAGCGTTCACTCACAACAGAAAACATGTAGGTGGACAACATCTCTTCGCCACTTAAGAAGCCACAGAAGTTGAGGATCTATTTTCTTTGTGGAAATCCAACACCTGCTGCTAAAGTAGATTTCCTGCCAACAAAACGCTGGACCAATTTAATCTTTTCAAAATAGGTTTAGACTGAAATCTTATATAGTATGCAAGTTCTTCTTCTTGTCTGTTCCTTTAATAGAGAACTCCAGGGAAATTATGTGTCTAAATATGTAAACATATAGTTTATTACTTTAATAATTATAGGAGCATATAGTAATTAGGTACAGATTTTCCACATAAAGAAACATTTCAAAGGATATTTTGCTCCAGTTAAGAGGATCACAGGGGTTTGTTAATAAAAGGCTAATAAAATATATATATTTTTTGTAATTAGTGGCGAAAGTCCAGACATTTTTGACTGTGACACATACATATAGATAATTTTTCTGATCAAATTCCAGCTTAAAGGCACGGTGTGAAGTATTTTTACTTGTTTACTTTTAAATTCTGTGTACCCTGTTCACAAACTTTTCCTTTTTCATTAATATTTCTCACCAACGTCTTTTCTAAGTTTTCCTGTTAAGGGTTTAACATTTTTATATACATAAACTGACCAACCCTCCACAATCAAGCGTCATCTTGAAATACAGTAGATGTTTAGGGACATACAAAATATAATGCTTTGCGGTTTCACTTTGACAATAATTTGATAATTAACATGAACATGGCTCACATAAAACACAGATTTTATTAAATTAACACATTTTTAGTTTAAATTTAGAAAAGAAAACAAATTGAGACGAACCTGATCGCTATGGGTGGGCTACCGTATATGCAATACCAACTCTGAACTGCGTGGTACTAAAGAGTCATACTGTTGGGCCTTTAAGTATGCAAATATCCTAAAGAGAAAGCATGTTCACTCTCCTTTTTTGGCTTTTTATAAATATCAAAAACACGTCCCTAGTTTTTTTCCCCCTAATGTACAACTGTGCTCCGTGTTTGCAGACAACTCACCTTTCACTGGGAACTGCAAAGAAATGTTCTTGTTGCACAAATGTCCAGAGCAGCACGTCACCACCATCTCCAGAGTTGGGGAATTTCCACAGCGTAAAGCTTCATCCTCATTTTCCACTATGCAACCCCTCCGAAAGACCGACGTCCCGTTCAGAACAGAAAGAGAAGCAAAGCATTGCTGGCCAAAACACCGTTCCCCTCTGCTGCACGATGGCCCGTCGCACAAACATTCATTCCTCACACCGTCTTGCCCTTAAAAAGAAAACAACCACACAACCAATCCACCTTAATCAAACACAAACCTGGCAATAAAAAGCCATTTAAATAAGGAAGACAACAAATCTTCTCATTCCTCTTTCATGCATTCATATGTATAAATTGTAAACACTGGGGGGGGGGGGGGGGGAAGGTGCGGCTTGCCACTGTAAAAAGCACTTTCCATTGCAATTCTCCGCCACTGCAGCTGTAATAACAGTGCCAGACAGCAGATGAGAGGGAGACAGATGGAGGTAGGGGTGGTGAAAGGAAAAAAAAAAGTGTGATTTTTGGTCTGTGCTTGCAGGAGAAAAGGAAGGAGGCAGAGGAGAACACAAAGCCACAGATACTTCATGTTGACTAGATTAACAGAGAATCTGGATTGTACATGTCTTATAAACACAATGTTAGCCACTGAACAGTAGCTTTGGTGACAACGTGTAGCATAATCTGCAAACTTGGTGTCCACAATGGTGACGCTGGTGGATTTACAGTGAAATCCCACATCCAGGGAGGCAAAATTCAACCCTTCTCTTTTTAGCTTAAGGTAATAGCGTAAAGCAATAGATGCTTTTTTACCAAGACTTTATTGGTGCGTCCCTTTCTACCAGGAGCGATCCAGACGTGCAGCAGCTGTGAAAGAGGTCTATTCTGCTGGTCCCACGAGATCATGACATCACAAGATCACATGTGATTTTGCCAGTTCACGCAATAGCACAAGCAAGGAGAAAGACGGCAAGATGTGTCCAAACAGTCTGTGGTGTATTTTCTGTCCTTTTCACCTCAGCCAAAGAGGTTTCACAGGTAATGAGAGATATTTTATAGCTAAAGATGAAGTTCTCTGAGAAACAGATAAGTTTCATGGGTATGCTAAAGGTGAAAACCGTCTTCAACCCTTATTTCCTGCATTAGATGCAGTAAGGAATGGACTTGGAAAGTTACAAACACCTATATCAAACAGTCAAACGAGTATCTATGGACTCGCCCACCTCAGCTCGCGACGGTGTACTTGATTTAGCATCAAACAGAGCATGGTGGCGCAGTGGTTAGCACTGTTGCCTCGCAGCACGAATGTCGCAGGTTCGAAACTCGGCTGCGGCCTTTCTGCGTGGAGTTGCGTGTTCTCCCCATGCATGCGTGGGTTTCCTCCGGGTACTCCGGTTTCCCCCACAGATCACAACATGCCCTATAGGTTATAAACTGTAAGTCGCTTTGGATAAAAGCGTCTGCCAAATAAATAAAAAACATAAACATCTCGGCTAGAAGAGTCCAACCATTAGCATTAGCAACACAATATGGCGTAACTCTTGGCTTGTGTCATTTGTGGAGATAAAACATCAACGTTGTATTTTATTTTACCCAAGCAAGCAGTGTGGATGGAGGCAGTGTAAGAGTCACATCGCTGTTAAGCCTAATTTAACGCCTAACGCCATTAGATGGTGGCGAAAGGGCTCTCCGTCAGGCTCACAGAGGGTGACGAATAGTGGCCAACTTTTTAACTATCTGTCCAAAGTAACGAAGACCGCAAGCTTGTTAATGGACAGGACGCCGCTTCCTTTACATTCGTCAACAGCACACCCATTGTCCCGTCATTTAGCACCGAACAGATTGAAGAATGACAGATTGAAGAATGACTCGCGGACAAAGTCTGAAAATACGAACATTTATTCACCCCCGACCGAAGGAGTAAAGATACGCTGCAAGCATTTTATTTGTGGACGGAAAAGACGAAGCACGTGTTTAGAGGTGGCAATCGCATGAAGAGGTGGAGGAGAATGAGGGACAAATTCATCCGTGGGAAAAAGTCTCTAAAATGCATTAAAACAATGTGAAGACAGTAGTAGATACAAGGTCTTGGACCGGATATGAGGCTGTAATGGTAGTAGGATACTTCAGAATAGTGAAACGCCCTCTGTTGTGCTGGCAGGGAATTGCTTTGCAACTCACCCCAGGTGACAGAAAAGTCAGAAAGTAAAATGTCTCCATCAGTGGATCTGCGTCTCTCATGGGGCAGAACGATCTATTGTTTTTGGACCGAAATTGCGATTTCAAACAGCACAATCACGTGACCGTCAAAGCTGCGGTTTTAAGGTTGGTTTATGCTTGACGGCTCCGCGCGGAAAAGTTGCGTCATTTTAACAACCACACCCCTCCACCGCGTCTCCGCACGGCCCAAAATTTCCGCAACGCGCACCTAGGAAATTTTCCAACCACGCGGACGGTCGGACGCGGAAAAACATGGCGGGCCGGCAAGAACTAGTATGGCAGAGTTTCGTAAATACAGACATTTGTATGATTCAGCTCTCAAAGATCACAGTGATCAACATGTTGTTAATAATTCTTGGAGAGAAATAGCTCGCACTGTCGGAAAAGACGAGGACGCTGTTAAAAATGCTGAAATGCCATGTTGTAAACAGTAATTTCTACTTCTACTAAGGTGTAGTGTTGGATGCATGTCGTAGAGCTCCATGCTGCCCTCTACAGTTTGGGAGAATACTGGCTCACCGCAGAGACGAGCCGCACGAACCATAAACGCTGCGAGTTGTGAAGCGCGTTCCATCCGCGAGCCGCATCACCAAGCGGAAAGTGAATGCGTCAAGCATAAACCAAGCTTAAGTGGTTTTGACTGATCCAGGATCAGTTGTGCAACTTTTTTTTTACATCCGGGGTTTTCCCCCCTGTGTTATAGCTGCGGCAAAAGCCAGCGCGGGGCAGGGGGGTGGGGTGTACCGTCCAGAACCGAGCCCTACTCCACAGCTGACAGAGCTGCATGTTCAGGTTATTTTCCCTGTTTTAGGTTTCCACACACGGCGCTGCTAGAGCTGATAATAATGAGCTCGGGACAGAGAGAGACAGTGTAGTTGAGTAAGGGAGAGAGAGAGACTCCTCCCACATCGGAGCAGGTTCAGGCTGATTTCTAAAGCTTGGTTCAGGCTTCATCAGCGCGAGTGCGGAGTCGCGCACTTTAGTTGACTTGAAAGCTCAGCTTCTCTTTTAAAAATGGTTTGAATGTTTCCGACGGCACACGTTAGTTCAAACAAACTAAGGTGTCAGAATACGTGCGTCTCTCACGGAACTGACATTAGTAAGGAAAAACTATCAGACAGCTTCAAAAAACGTGCAGCCAGCCTGCCTTGGTAATGCAGGGAAAACTGTGCATTTTTTAATTTATTTAATACATTTAAAAGCTATTTCTACCTACAGATTTCCTCCATGCATTTTTGGAGTAGAACATGTTTTATAAAGCTCCTCTCTAGATAAAAATCACAAGCACAAGTTGCTTCACAAACACATAAATAATAAAAAAAATGATAATAATGGGAGAAAATAATAATAGCTTTAACTGTTTTTATTGTATGATTAAATTGTTAAATTAATGTGAATGATTTGTTGTACTAGATTAGAATCTAGACCTTCTTTTCACTTAATCTACAGGATGGCTTGGCAGGCTAACGTTGGACCTTTGTTTGCAGAAAATCGTGAATTGAACCAAAATCGCAATTTCTGCTAGAAAAATTGCATTTCAATCTTTTCCTAAGATCGTTCAGCCCTAGTCTCTCCCTAGTGGAGCCGACGGAGAACTATAAATTAGGCTTTAGTCAATAAGAGGTGAGATGTTTGCAAATCGTGAATATTGAAGACTAAGTCTCCAAATCCTGCCGTTTTGTCGTCCCCCCCCCCCCCCCACCCCATTTTCCAACTTCCTGAAACAGGAGCGCAATACCTATTCCCCACAGAAAACGAATCACAAGGCATTCATTCATACTAGAGACAACAGCAGAATTATTGAAATAATGAATTTACGCCCTCTTTAGGCAAACTGGAATCTGCAGGTATCTAATTTTTTTTAATTGGGATGCGTCTGAGACGAGCTGCTGCACGTCCGGTGAAAATAAAATGTCAATAGCAGCGAATTGCAAACAGAGTATGCATCCATTGGAAAGCCAGGTTCAGACCTCCTGTAATAAGCTGATGACCAGATGCTTACCCTCCACGCTGTGACCGGGAAGAACCAGTGTGAGCACAACCCAGAGGAAGACCTCACTTGTCATTGTAGACCTAAAGAGAGAAAAAAAACACTAAATGACAGCAGAATTTTTAACAAAAAGAAATTAAATTGGATAAAACCCAACAGGTGATGGTGTGGATGTGTCAGGACGACTTGAGCAGATTTCCAGAACTTTATTTGGAGACAAAGATCACTAAAAGTGACGGTTTCACCATTCACCTCAAACAATCAAAAGGTGCAACTTCACAAATAAGAGACCTTTTCCCATGAAAAAAAAGTCTGCATCAAGTTTAAAATGTTCAAGTAAAGAGGGACTAATGCCTTCCTGTTGTCCTGGCAACAAGGCATTGAGTGGCAAGCAAAGGGGAAACTGGTGCTCTCTTATTGGCTGACTGGCGTAAGAGCGTGTGTGTGTGTGTGTGTGTGTGTGTGTGTGTGTGTGTGTGTGTGTGTGTGTGTGTGTGTGTGCGTGTGCGTGTGCGTGTGCGCGTGTGTGTGTGTTGGAGGAACAGGCTGCTTGGCAGGGAAGGAAGAGGAGCAGGCAGACATTAGGAGGAAGAGGAGGGGGATAGGACAGCAAGGTGGCCTGAAGACTATTATTTACAGACCTGGAATCAGGAGATAGTATTTCCTCAATATTTAATGCATCTGTGGGAACGTGAATTGTACTGCTGGAGTAATTAAATGGCAGATATCTGGCAGCCAACCAGTTTATCTATTAACGGAAACTGTAAGAGGAAAACAAAACAGGCCCACGTTTCCTGTTTTTTAAGGTAATGTTTGAGTTCTGTAGAGGCATAAACCAGGTGTGTTGCCTGTTCACGCTGTAACGAGCACCGGGAACTTTATCTTGGCAGCATATGTGTCTGAGCTCATCCGTGCTGCTGATAAATACCCCAACACCACCTACCTCCACCCCCACCCCCTCCAAAGCCTTTGTGCCCATCTACCAGACATAAATGTTTAAGCACGTCAAGTTAGCGTTAGCCCAACGGTGGCGTCACCATGGGCCGCTCACACACAGACCACACGCTGCTCCTTTAATCAGAGCACAAAAACAGAGGCTGCCACACAGAGATAATCATGAGCTCTGTCTGCTCCCCGGGGACCAGAGAGGAGGAGGAATGGCAGCGGGGGAGACAGAGAGGGCATGAGAAGGCACAACAGATATGGTTGGGGGGGGGCAACTAGGGGACAGTAGGTCAGAGAGAGGGGTGAGGCAGGCTGGAATAGTGGGGTAAGCTGCCTCAAGAGACATGGGGTAGTGGATTGGGGGGAGCCACTGGCAACATACTGTGGAGTGGAGGGGTCTCAGTTTGTCTACAGAGGATAAAAAAGTAGTACTACATGAACACTAGAGTACTACCTAGTTACTACGGTACTGCCTCATTTCCCAGTCATGCAAAACACACGTATCTACTGAATAACTCACGTTAATTAGCCACGTCGAACAGGCCATGTGGCTCCACTTAATTGCCTCCGATAGTAAATTATTTGCTGCATTTCTGTTTATATTTACTGCTAAAGACCCTTGAGAACGGCAGTGAAGTCATCTGTCTCCCACTCAGACTCTCTTTTAATTATGCAACGAGCAGCAAGCCAATACAAGTCAAATCAACTGTGTACACGTAAACAAAGTCCTGCAATATAGTGTGCCATTGATTCTGTATTACAACTAATCAAACGCTGTTTTTGGCATCTTGTCTCCATCGTGAATCCTTGATTTTTTTATGCAGCATGGATTTGGATGCATGCAAAGTTTGAGTATTTAGTCAGTGCATCTTTGTTGCACAAACTCAGGTTCACAAAGGAAAAGTTCCACACCAAGGCATGAAGAAACATGAGGCTCTATGGGTCCCGATACTGAAAACCTCAGACAGGATTCTTGGGCAGGAGAGGGAGATAAAGCATCTGCAGAACTGATTGTGATCCAAGTACACAGTTTTGTGGTGTTTTGTGTATGTGTGTACGTGTTGCAGACCTGTGTATTGAATTCGTTGGCTGTGTTGTGTATTAAGTGCTCACAGAACAGACACACTGCCAAGGGTGTGATCTCCACCCCCCATGTCCTCTGACGCAGTGTTGTATTAAGAAACTAGTCTGAATTCCAGATGGTAATCACAGCTTAAGATATGCTTTTTATTTCTGGTCTTTGATGCTAACAAGCCATGCTAGACCATAAGGAAGAAATTGTGAAACAGAAAAAATGAATGAAATAATACGGATGCAAATGTGGATGATTTAAAGATGTTAGTTATAGTAAAGGGAATTTTCAATGTGCAAAAAAAATATTTTTGGGTTGCTGTGGTTTGATACTTCCTGACTTTTTAGGCAGCTGACTCACATCCAGGTAGGGCTGGGCGATATGGCCTAAAATCAGTATCACGATGTATTGGGGATTTCACCTAGATAATGATAAATGAACGATAACTACAGGTGTGCTCAGAAACAAAAGTTGTCCACTAGATGGGGCTGTCACATGTATTACATCGAGTCACATTTTTACTTGACTCAAGGTGGAACAGCTTCTTAACGGGGTTATGAACTTTGCCAACCTACTCACATCGTTTCAGTTTTTTATTATCAAATTTATTGACATGGGAAAATTTATCTAAACAAGAGTCAGAAATGTCGATAATTATACATTTTCGATTAATTGCCCAGCCCTACTTCCAGGATGCAGTAACGTTTGTATTCTCAAATATGTTTTTAAGCTTTTGTTGCTGCCAAGGATAACGATCAACAGGATAACCAAGGCAACACTCAAATAAAGACCAAGGTTTTAAATAGTATCACATACATTCATTATAAATGCGCAATGAACTTCTGCTTTGGCTTGCTAAATGATGACACATGCTAGCTCTTTACTAGCCAAAGTTAGCAATGTGTAGAAGCAACGCTAACAATTTTCTCAGAAAGATAGGTTAAGATCACAAGTTGTTTTTGTTTCTTAAATAATAACTCTCTGCTAACATTGTTAGCATTGCTTGCTCACTGTGCTAGTAAAGAGCTAGCACATATAATTTAGCAACCCGAGACAGAATCTATTTAACTTACCTTCATAATGAATGCAGGTGGTCACATAAGTTTAAAAACCTTTGTCTTTATTTGACTGTGGCGTCTTAGATGTGGCCTAGGTTATCCCGTGTATGTTGATCGTTATTCTTGGCAAGTTCTGCTGCAATAGTGTACTAATGCCATGGGGAAAACTAATTCTACTGTGACCTGGAAATGATTCAGCTGGCTAAAAAGTCAGTAAGTGTCAAACCAGGGGTCGGTGGCATATAGCCTGTTTTTCTCTAAAGATGGCCAGAAATATGCCCATATGACATTGAGGGAAATATCATAAAGGTGGTCCACACATACAAATACCTTGGTGTCTGGCTTGATGACACCCTCTCCTTCAAGCCCCATTTAGATTATCTTGTGAAGAAACTCAAACTCAGTGTATTTCTTTTTTCGAAATAAACTTTTTCTTTTGTGGTAAAAAAAAAGACGACTAGTTACTGCAACATTTCTGTTTATTCTGGATTCTGGAGACCTTTTATATATGAATGCCTCAGCACAGTATCTTGGTAAGATTGATGTGGTTTATCGTGCCTTTCTGAGGCTCATTACTACCTGTAGACCACTGACCCTTCATTGTGAATTGTATTCTCGAGTGGGAAGGTCTTTGTCCACCAGGAGGTTGAGACATTGGTGCACCTTCATTTATAGAGCTCCGGGAGTTGACGTCACTTCTCCCGGCATGCAACAGTTCAAATCGAAACGGCGCCATATTGGCATGCAGAAGCCGGCAGCTGGACTATTTACTATTGTCAGAAAACTCAATCAAACGGGAAATATGGTAGATTCCTGTTGTGCCCCAGGATGCAGAACAGACGCGGACGACATAAGGAATGAGACATCTACAGGATTCCCCAAGATCCGGAGCGCCGCAAACGTTGGATCATTGTAATAAAACACGCTAGTGACCGGGCGAAAATGAAGCTGTGGGATCCCGAGAGTAAAGATTTTCGCTTATGCAGCGACCACTTCATATCAGGTACTTAAACCAACGTTTCCTAAACTGTGTATGGTATTTATTTTAAATGCTTTTATTATGATTCTTAGTGGGCTTCCTAAACTTATTTTGGTGTGGCTTTTTCTGTCTTATTACTCATAGCAGCAAGTAAACATCACGTAAAACGTTGCCTCGTGAGTTCTGCGTGCTGCCGTTTACGTGTTTTATGATGACAGCAATTAACCGGCTAAGCCGTATTTAATTTTTAAGCAATGGTTGATCAGATCACACTTAAAAAGCACTTTGGATTGCTATTATCTGTGTCACCGAGACTACTTACATGTAAATCTGTTATTTGTCCGTCCATCCATCCATTTTCATCCGCGTATCCGGAGTCGGGTTGCTGGGGCAGTAGCGTGACTTCCCTCTCCCCAGCCGCCGGAGCCAGCTCCTCCGGGTAAATCCCAAGGGGTTCCCCGGTCAGGTCCGGTGCTGTGCCGGTCCGCTCCGACAGCTTCTGGCGTCTGAGCGGGTAGTAGAGTCGAGAGTCCCAGACCTCCTCCCCAGCTCCTCCGGCCGGGGGAATCCCAAGGGGTTTCCCCGGCCAGGTCCGGTGTTGTGCCGGTAAGAAGTCCGCTACGACTTCTGGCGTTTTTAAAAAGTATCCCAGGGGCACGGTAAGGGTCGGATATGTTTAGTCTATTTAATTTCTGACTATATAAAACGATTTCTTCTGTTTTAAAGTGTGAAGTAAACTCCGACGAAGTAAAATCCAAGCGGATCCCGTTCATGTTCATGGTTACATCCGTGTTTGTTTACCTTTTTTGCATGCCAAAATGGCGTCCACTAACTGAGAGTCACGTGGGGTCCGGAGCTCTATTAGGCCATGCGTGGATTACTACCCACCTACATCAGTAACTTAATCTCAGAGAAGTGTAACTTCTCACAGTCCGCGTGCAAATGATCAATTGTTACATTGTGTTCCTTTTGCTCGCACCGAACCGGGCAAAAGGGCTTTCGCTCACTCTGCTCCTTCTGCATGGAACA